GGTGGAGGAAGTGGCGTAGAAGGGATCAGGAAATTCGATCCAGGTTTGTTTTTTGCGGCGCTGAAGTTGGTGTGAGTTTCTGTAACATGTTTTGGAGACATAGAACCGACGCCATGGTTTATAAGCCTTTCTCAAAACACTTGCCATACCTTGCCCTGGAGATAGGTTCGACATGCTTCGACTAAGCGTGACGAGACATTAGTGTACCATTGCGATGTATTATGCTGCTGCATTGTATATAGTATACATTCTGGAACAGATTGATAGATAGTTATTCGTATATACAATGTCAATATAAAGTACTGTAACTATAAACAACTGTGTATAGATGAGAATAAGCGTAGACTATTTTAGCAAGGAGGGGTGCAGTTGTTCTGAGAAAGTCCATCAAACCATGTAAAGCGATAGGCCCAAAACAAAAAACGATAACTTGTAACCAGATATGAGAGTGCATTGAACTGTGTGTAGACCAAGCAAATGTTGTTATGAATTGTTATGTACCTTCAAGCAATGGGCAAAATTGACAAAGTAAATTCAACCTGCAGGCCGTGTTTCTTGCGATTGCCCTATCATCTGTTGTCCAAGGTGATTGAACCGTTGCTTTCTGCAGGCTGTTTGTTTCTTTTCCCAGGTCCTAAAGCAGTAGAAATAAGCTAAACTAAATGCAATTGAATTCTCAGATGGATCAAACAAATATTTGATCTAATTCTGAATTACACGTATATATGTTTTTATTCAATTCGACTTTATTCTTTCTTAGTTTCCTTATCTATTGTTTTGTTTGTTTTTCCCGTTTATGTTTCTTGTAAGAGTGAATGCAATTGAACTCTGAATTAACATAAAAACTTGATTTTGAGTTGTCCTTTTCTGAAACAAATTGCAAATCGTTTAATGTGTCCGTTCTTCTTCCTTTGTTTTCTTTTCTCTGTTCCTTCCTTCCTTCTTCCTTCTATGTTTGGCAATTGTCCTTTTTGTTTCACGTTCTTTTTTCGTTTCCTTTCTTGATTATAAAGGCGTTCTAAGTTAGCGATAACCTTAGCTAGCAATAACCTGTTGTTGAAAAAGGGAGAGACCCCGGATGAGGGATAGACTCATTTGATTTGCTTAGCATCTTTTTCCAATAGGAAAAAGGGGTGAAAGATCCTTACAACAAAAGCAAAGAGCCACTGATTTTGGATTTGTTTGATGAACAGCAATTTCGCTGCATTCTTGTATTATACAGTGTTGATTTGAACAAAACACTGTAAAGCGATAGGGCCCCAGAAGAAAAACAATAACCTATATTTTTGCACCAGGCATAAACAATTGATTTTGATGGCGGCCCATGTACATATACATATTACTATCATATACTTATATATATATATACATATTTGATGCTTGACTGCAACTTGTGACAGCAAAAAAGATTACCACCTTCACTCAAGCTACATGTCGAGGAATTTACTCTGCCCTTAGCCCCTCCGACTTTTCTCTTCTGTTGCTGGGTTTTTCAGTTGGCAGGAACCAGCTTTACGACCACGTCCACCACACTCTCCAGCACATCGGTCACTTCTACTTCCATTTCGGTGACGACAACTTCCACGGTCACAGAGACATCCACAACGAGATCCAGTGACTGGTCGTCAGGTTGATGCAGCTTTGGGGCCGGAGTGTCCAGATCTCCAACATTCGGTTTCAGATGAAGGCTGTTGCAAGTCTAAGCATTGTTTAAATTCATCAAAGTCTGAAAGAGTCCAAAACTATTTGGGGATTTCCATAAATGGAGGTACCCCAATAGCTGGATGGTTTAGAATGGAAAATCCTATGAATCAATGGATGATAACTAGGGGTACCCCTATGACTTGACCTCTGGTGGCTGGTGGATGCTGGTTGGCGTACCACTGCAGCTGGTCTCTGTTATGTTACCCTCCGGTAAACTTATAAAAAACCATGGAAAATCACCATTTTTAATGGGAATATCCACTATTTCTATGGTCATTTTCAATAGCTATGTAACAAATTACCAGAGGGTATGCCAATTCCTCGTGCTTTCCTCAATGAGTTGTTGTTGGCATGCTGTTGGAAGGCATACCATTCGATCATCCAACATGGCTATAGCTGTAGCTGGGAAATGCTGGGAAAACCCCCTTAAATGAAGGTTTATAGCTGGGAAAATCATCTATAAATGGGTGATTTTCCAGTGCCATGTTTGCTTACCGGAAGGTCAATGTTTACACGTGTACCACTTGGTGCAGCCTGCAGAAATGGATCTTATTGACGCTTGCAGAGGTGCTAGGTATCAGGCTGGTTAAGTTGGATAGTGAACTGATAGAAACTAAGTGATGGTCTCCATGGGCTTTGTTTTGTTGATCTTCCTGATGTTCTTGGACTGTCATTCTCGAGGCACCATGTCGACCTCCTCCACCAGCCTGTCTTCCACTGCAACTTGCCATGTCCACCTGCACACCGCGAAGCACAACCGCGCCTTGAAGAAAGGTCAAACAGCAAGGGTTTGATCTGCAGCCGAGGCTACAACTTTGACGAGATCCACAACCAGCAGCATATCAACCACAAGGCAGCCGCCAGATTGAGGAGAAGTTGGCCACTCCATTCCATCCGGTGAATTATCATTATCTCCTTGAAATTGCTAAGGCTACTAAGGGGTATGCCCCACTTTCAGACACGCGAAAATATGACTAGTATACAGTATACTACAGTATACATATTAATTTATATATTATTTGTACATTTATATATATATGTGTATATATATATATATAATTATATTTCAGAAGTCTGTTCGAGCAAGATGTCATGGTCAGCACCTGAATATGTCTAAATTATTCTAATTATATTATATCCGACAAAATAAGTATTGTTCATCGAAAGTCATTGATTTAGTGCACACCAAATTTATGTGTTCATTTTTTCTATAAGGAGGTCATAACCGGGCTTGGATTGCTTTGGTTGACAAAGAAGCCTGACAAGCTAAATCACCTGAAATTTATCAGCCGTTTCACTGACTCAAATTCAATTCATTTTGCCAAACAATCAAACTAGAAACGGCATCAGGCAAATCAGGTTTGAAATTCACCATGCAGCCTGCTATATTCAGTGATATGTATATAATATATATATATATATTTATTTTTTATTTATTATATATATATAGCTTTGTGCTAAGTATGCCTTAGGCTATTGATATGTCAATTTTATTCCAAACTGACTCGTCACCCGAATCAACACTTTCACCATGACTCACCTTCTCGCGGAGGTCATCAACATCGATCACTGACTCCAGCACCAGCCTAACCAGTGACTCAGCTGAGATGCCAATCCCAGCTATCCCAGCCGTCCCAGCCATGCCAGTCCCAGGGTGGAACTTTTAGGAAATCGATGGAGCAACCATCAGCAAGCCTGGCTTTGGGGGAAACCATGAGATCAGCATGTGTCAATGATGCGGTGATTCGCGGTTCTCCGGCAAAAAGGAAAAAAAACAACGTCATTCAGGGTGTCAACTTGTGTCAGCTGCTTTCCTATCATTCAACAGTAGTGAGATACTGTGGATGGAAGAATTCCTGCACCACCAAACGGATGGTTAAAATATTCAAAACCCTATAAATAATGGGATAAATCGATAAACCATCTATCAACTGGTGCAGGATTTCTTCCATCCACATCCATCCACAGTATGACTGATATTACTGTTAAGCTATGATCTTTGTTGAAGCTTCATGGTCCATCAAACGGCGGGCTTTCCTCGATTTTGCCGCGTATTTCCCAGCCCATCCTGAGGTGGAACCTCGACCACAACAAGCACGGCGGAAACGAAAACCAGCCACTTGGAGAGACCATCTCCACTCGAGTGCGGCTGTTGATAAAATCTGCGAAAGAGATCAAGTGGGGGGTTTCCTAAAATAGGGCTACCCCAATAGCTGGATGATTTATCATGGAAAACCCTATTAAAAAGATGGATGATGAATAGGGGTACCCACATTTTTGGAAACCTCCAAATGTGGGCAACATCTGCATTGATCCGGATTTTTTTTAACATCCATGATCATCATGATCGGATTCTGTTGTATGATCCTGGCTGGTGGTTTTCCATTTCATTCACAGGATCATCCTTCCCATTGACTAATATGTTTCAAGATGGTTAAAACATGTTACCCTCTGGTAATTTAACATAGGTATTGAAAATCACCATTTATAGTGAGTTTTCCCATTAAAAATGGTGATTCTCCATAGCTATGTTAAATTACCAGAGGGTAAAACCACCAACCAGCTTGATTTCACAGATTTGACTCAAGAGATCCCAGTGGATTGATGTTGTTTGGACCATTTTGGACCAAAATTTGGTCCAAACTCTCCAAGTCGGATCCGACTAAAAACGGATGGATCCAGACGTCTCGCCAAGCGAACCGGAGTGACATGTCCTTTCCCTCATTTTCCCTCATTTATCTTTTGTGGATTTTTGTGGCAAATATGAGTCGTGTTTCTTTGTTTTGTTTTTTGGCTTTGTATTCCTTGTTTTTCTGTGCCTTTCCTGGCCTTTCCTTCCTAGTGACTCTTTCTTTTTTGTTTCCATCTCCGGTTTAAAGCACGAAAGTAATACGCGGAATTCAGAATTCTTTGGAGGTGGTGATTAGGACATGCAAAGCAGCAGTGAAAGAATGCAACTCAGCTCGTTTCCCTGAGCAGCTTGCTGCCAGTATTCTGTATGCATCATTCTGTGTCCGTGTTTCACAGGCGACCTGCTGCCCCTCTGAAATATGTTTTATGTTGATGTGTATCAAGTGACAGGAACAGATCCTTTGGACACTTCTTGGATTTGTAGATTTCAGATATTTCAGGATCTCACTAACTTAACATTTATCAGGGCTGGCGGCTGGACGGTACATTTACTAGCTCTACATAAGATCAGAAGAAAAGTCTATCCCAGCAATAGCACCCTGTAGTCAAATCAAATTTTCTGTCCGATGAGGCCTTTCCCATGGCTTAAATGGGGTCTGGAAGGGATGCAAGTCGCCGTAAAGTTGCCATATAGGACCTAAAACAATCAACACATCAGCAATAGCAACAACAATAACCAACAACAAAAATAGATGATCTGTATTGACCTATGATGATCTTGTTGTTGATTGTTTCTGTTGTGGTCATAAAATTGTTTGACCTATGATTTTTCATCGTTTTCCCATGTTTTCTCCTAGACTTCCAGGTAAACCCATGGCGGGTTTCCAATGAATGTCATGGAGGATACCCCAATGATACCCCAATGGCTGGATGGTTTATTTCATGGAAAAAACCAGTTATACATGGATCATAACTAGGGGTTCCCCCATGACCTAGGAAATCTCTGAGAAATCTACGGTTTATGGTAGATATAACTACTGTATAGCCAATGGGGATTCTAATGGTTTATAAACCAACATAAACCAACTTATAACTGGGGGCCGCATCCTGCAAATGATCAGTTCAAAAAATAGACTGTACCTCCATCCGTTGAAAAACGCTTGCGAGGTTCAACGACCACAAGCCTCACATTCAGCAGCACAACACGGAGTTTCACGAAGACCACAAGCACTACTCAAAGCCAAACTTCCTCAAGTTCTCTGGCTTTGTAGGTATTTTAAGGTGATTTTAGTTATATTTTCCCAATGGTAAATGGTAAATCCACTATATTGGGGAATCTATAAGGAAATATGCGTTATTTTTTGCGGAACCGGCGCAAAATATGGATTTAATCCAAGGTTCGATCACCAAGACGTGGACCAGAAGCAGCACAATGACTACCAGCAGCACCACGACCAGCCAGACAAGCGTCACAAAGACAATCAGTACATCCACTTCGGGTACCACCACGGACGCTTGACTGCTTGGGTTGGTTTAAGGGAAAATCTACAGGAAACCATGGTTTTTACCATCAAATGTAGGGCTTTCCTGTAAATTTTCCCATCATCCAATTCTATGATTGACTGCTTGACTTGCAGCTCTTCATTTTTTTTCTAGGCTCAGCAGGAGAATTCTTGGATTTGTAGTGTTACAAAGTTTGGATAGGTACGAATATTGATGGATTAATGGAAATGAACATGAAGAACAAACACTGGTATGATTTGGTTATACAAGATATCCTTTAATTCAGCATAGCATGAGCATGAGAGCGGCTTTGTAAATCTCAATCCGTAGGCAACGACTTTGACCCAAAGCTCGACAAGTAGTCTCACGACCACCCGGAGCACGGTGACGACCAGCTCAACGACCAGAAGCAGCAGCATCACCAGCGTCACCAGATCCAGTACTGGAACCAGAACTACGGTCACTTGTGCTCCCAAAGTGGAAATAAAGGTCGTTTGTTTGCTGGATTTTTCTACGGTGTGTGCATATCATCATCACTGTGAATAGACGGCACTGGGAGTATGGAGGTTTCCTAAGTCATAGGGGTACCCCTAGTTATCATCCATTTATAAATGGATTGTCCATGAAATAAACCATCCAGCCATTGGGAAACCCCCATTTACAGAAACCTCCATATTGCCTATCCTCCAAAATTGCATATGTTGGAGGGATCCCCAGGCTTCATCGTACCGGGATAGCCCTTCAGACCGCCTCGTTGCGTCGTGTTTTTCATGCATGACCTCACGGATGTTCGATGAAGATGATGGTTCAATTTGCTCTAAAACATCCATAGATCTCCATGTGGAGAATGTTGTTCAATGACTTTCGGTTTCGACTAATGTTGCGAGGTGACTCTAACTAGCAGCTCCACAAGGACTACAACTTGGAGCAGCACCAGAACTTCTGTGGCTGGGTCACGTACTGGGGAAGCGGGGTGATGCCATGCAATGGCTTTTTAGTTCATGTTTGTTGGGAGCTGCCAGAAAGTGAATCATAATGTTTTTTTTTTCTGAGTTTCTCCATGATCACCATGATCAAAACAAACATTAATGATCATTAACATAATATGATGTTTAAACATGTTCGCTGCAACCTGGACGTTTGCCCGGAGTTGATGTCCCGCCTTCCTGATTTTGATCCCTCATGAAGATAACGTTGATGTTATTACCCCATTCAACATATTGAATATTGGTCATACGAGGTGGAAAATGTTGATCCCACATGAAGATAACGCTGATGTTGTTTGTCCAATCAACATATTGTTCTGAGGAGGTGGCGAATTTTGATCCCTCATGAAGATAAGTTGATGTATGTTGATGTTATTTCCCCAATCAACATATTGTTCTGTTATGTCACACTCATCAGTCTGGGCAAACGTTAAGGTTGCGGACAACATGTTTAAACATGAAAATGATCATTAACAATTATGATGTTTCATATGATGATCATCAGTTATCATGAATGTGTTTTGTGTTTTTCATGATGTTTAAAAACCACATCAAACACATCTCCGGGGAGGGCCCAGGGGCGGGAAGACGATCCAGGGTTCCTTTTGTTTTTTTCGAAGGGGCGAACGTTTGGATCTGCGGCTATTGTGCAACATATATTGGATATATATTCGATATATATATATTGGATATGTATATATATATGCACACATACATTGTTTAATATGTTTATAAAACACAATTTGTGCAGCATATTCATGGCTATTTGAGACAGATATGATGGCGTTTTGCATCTATGAATCTCCCAATCCCTCCAGCTCCGGGTGTGCCCGTTGGTCGAACGACTCTAAGGTAACCAGGACGAGCAGTAGCAGCAGCAGCACCAGCATCAGCCATAGCACCACCAAGACGTCCCTGACCAGTAACCTGTAGACATTTGGAGGTTTCCTAAATTGGGGGTGAATATCCATGGTTAATGGGTTAATATTGGTTAATAATGGTTAATAATGGTTAATAATGTTTATTAATGGATAACTAATGATGATTGATGTGGTTCAAACAATGTCATGTTTACCACAAAAATGACTGGGAATGGTTTCTACATACTGCCTACAAAAATGGTGATGACTGGAGGATGGTTTAAGTTTATGACATTGGTTTACCCACATTACCCCAAACTCATGGCTATCAATATCTATCTATTAAATGATCATCATGACTTGGATGATTTTGGGTACCGCTATTTTAGGAAAACAACATTTTTTCTGTGAAGATCTGTGATGATGTTGGATGATCTTGGATGGCTTGGGAAGGTGACACCTGGGATTTTTAGTATGATCTAAAGTTCCCAGTCGATCGAGAGTCTGAAACACGTCTGACTTTGTGCCGCAAATAGCCTCTGGTCATGTCAAAATAGCTATTGAAAATGGCCATAGGAATAGTTGATTTACCCATTAAACATGGTGTAGTGATTTTATTTCCATAGTTTTTTGTATGTTTACCAGAGGGTACATCTTGTTGATTCTTCTTGATGCATCCATCCTTACCTTACCAATGTCGTGGTGGTCTTGTCGGGTCACATCCACGATTCTGACGAACCTACCATGGATGTTTTTTACGGCCATATGGAGGTTTCCTAAAATGGGGCTGCCCCCCATTGTTTATTGGATTTCCCATTATAAACCATCCAGCTATTGGGGATTCCCCATATATCCCAATTTCAATGCAACAACTTTCCAGTTCAACGGTGATCGAGGTAGCAGCATCACTGCAACATCCAGCAGCACAAGCATTACAATGACGACCACATCACTGACGGACTGGAGGGCGGGAGTTGTTGGTGCTGCATGTTATTTGAAATAAGAAGATGATGTTGATATCAATATCTGACTAATTGATAATCATCATTATCACTATGATGACAAGATCAATATCATCAACATTGATCATCAAATTTGATTGCGAATTGATTGAAATCTGCAGAAACTGGGTTGTGGCTTTGGAAGAACACTGTGTGAGACTTATCCGCTTTTCGGAACGTGTCCTTCAACCAAGTTTGCCGATACAGTCGAACAGCCACAGTTCCCCCATCACTGGTTGTCCATGGGGTCCATCACGAGGATTTGTTTTTGTCGTGGCTCATGATGATGTCATGATGATTGCATGTTAGTTTCCCTCTGGTAAATTAACATAGACCCTGAGAATCACCAATTTTTAATGGAAACTAATCTTCCAACCCCTATCTGCCAGGGTCTATGTTAATTTACCGGAGGGTAGCACTATTTGCGACTATTTGCTACATTTCTTTGCCTGACATTTGCAGGTTTTGGCCGTGTCATGATGTGTCATGTCCATTTCCATGTGCTGCCTGTGAAAAACAAGAATGGAGTTCTGTGTATAGATAGCAGTACCATGGTCGGTCACAGCCCAGTTGACACAGAGTACCTTGGTGGTTTGTTGGAGAAACCCTGGATGATCATTGGGGGAACATCCCTAAAAAACCGGGCAAGTTTGACATGGAATGTCCATTTCAATCCTTGTATTTGTTGCTCTCTCTAGAATGTGGCGCCCAAGTTCACTTGCAAAGCCCATCAGGATATGGATATTTATGGATATAGGTTTGATCGAATTTATGGATTTTTGAGTATGAATACATCAGTCATAAGCCCTACTACCTACAATAATCATAATGAACATTTATGAACTCAGTATGAGTTACCCTCTGGTAGACTAACATAAGTAACTATGGAAGACCCGCCATTCTTTATGGGAAAATCACCTATAAATGGCCATGTTCAATAGCTATGTAAACGTTTACCCAGAGGGTATATGAGTTATCAAACTGGCACCACCTCAAAAAACCCTCAGGAGACTAGCAGCAGCAGCTCAATGACCAGCACCTCTAGTAGCGTCACCAGCACCGTCACCTGCGGATGCTGCAGCAGCTGTTTGGGCTGGGCCATGATGATAGGTGCGCCAAGCCGGATTTTCATGTTGAAGTTGTGGTGGGGTGATGTTTATGTTCAGAAAGTGCCATGACATGCCTTTAAACATGCCTAGAAAAAAGATGTATTTGGACAGGGACATATACATGTAGTTTGAGATAAAATGGGACATTTAATTTTCTCCTCAATGGTATGTGAAATGGGACATATATTTGGGTATCTGTATATGACATTGTTTATTTTCCATAATGTATGGGATGTCATCCTTCCCATTGATGAACTCCATCATTTTTCAAGGTGGTTAAAACGCACCACCAAGCAGCTGATCGGCTTTTTCTTGTTCGGACGCCTGTTCTGTTGTCAGATCTGCTACCCTCTGGTAATTTAGCATAGCTATTGAAAATGGCCATAGAAATAGTGAGTTTTCCCATACAAAATGGTGATTTTCCATAGTTTTTTGTATGTTTACCAGAGGGTACCGCTGCGCCACGCTGCTGACCACGCTGAGGTTGCGGTTCCTTTGATTTGTGTCAGCGTCAACTCGAGGAGCCGAGCGCGGAGCAATTTGGAGCTGAGATTTTTGGCTGTTCCACGGGCATATTATGACGTAGCCGAAGAGGGAACTTAACAGTTTGCGAACTGGAAAATGGCCATAGAAATAGTTGAATTAAGTTGAATTACCTATTAAAGATGGTGACTTTCCAGTTCGCTTTTTGTACCTTTACCAGGCCGGGTATTGATTTTCCAAGGACTCCCAGCTCACATATTGGATTTGTGAAGGCTCCATAGACTCCAAAATCAACGCAACGCGTGATCCGTGCCTGTATCATGTTACGGATTCGCATTCGTGTGGCAGTGCCGACATTAAATCAAGATACTAAACTCAAGACATTCTTCGAAACACATGTTTATAGATTGTTTAGCTTTACTCCCCTGCTCTTAGATATTTTAGATGCTTGTATCATGTTGTATCATGACGGGGCGCTCGGCTGAATTCCTCCCCATTTGCGAGGAGTGCCAGGCAGCATCATTGACATGTCAAGGCAATCTTCAAGGATACCAGATTGGACTCGAGCAATGCAGGACAGCTCGCAACATGTCGCATCTATATAATAGTAATGTGGGAAAAGCAAAAAAACAAATCACCCATTTGAAATAGGTTTATACCACCTATTTATGGTTAAATTGGGGATGGTTGATTATTGTTGGGCCAACATCAGACGTTGTTTTTACATTATTTCTTGTTGTTTTATTAATGCAGATATACTTTAAAAAACTTTAAAAGAATGCAATTAGTATTATCTCACATTATTTTACATTGTACATTGTATATTGTCATGAGGATGGATCAATACCTATATTTATAGCATTTTTAGAGGGATGAACATCCATAAGTCCCAGCTAAATTTTGATGTGAACAACAAAGGGGTACTTGTAGTAACTTGACCCATCCCCATATCTGATTTTGTAATATTATATTATGTCATTATATTGTTGTGCTTATACTATTGAATTATATTGCATCATATTGTATCTATTATGTCATTATACTATAATGTTTTGTTTCAATATTACATTATTATTGATATTATTTTACATTAGTTTATTTATATTATGTTATATTACCTCATGTTATATCAAACAGTTTTTATAGTTCATAGTATATGCTATGACAGTATTGTTTTGTAATTTATCAAATTATAGTATATTTTTTAGTGATAAATCATGTTTCTATCATTTGATACATAGTTAATATTGTGTAAGTAATATTACGCGCAAACACCCCGTATCGCCCACACCCCTTCTATGCTGTACACTTGGGGATATCAAACGTCAGCCTTTACATTCAATTGGGAAGATCAACAAGGGTATTTAGGGAATATGAATTTCCCACCCCAATTAAACTTTACATTCATTGAAGATTTTCAATAAGGGTTTAATTCTCCCACCCCAATTAAACTTTACATTCATTGAAGATTTTCAATAAGGGTTTAATTCTCGCACCACCGTTAAACTTCTACATTCATTGAAGATCTTCAATAAGGGTTTAATTCTCGCACCACCGTTAAACTTCTACATTCATTGAAGATCTTCAATAAGGGTTTAATTCTCCCACCCCCGTTAAACTTCTACATTCATTAAAGATTTTCAATAAGGGTTTAATTCTCACACCACCGTTAAACTTCTACATTCATTGAAGATCTTCAATAAGGGTTTAATTCTCCCACCTCCGTTAAACTTCTACATTCATCGAAGATCTTCAATAAGGGTTTAATTCTCCCACCTCCGTTAAACTTCTACATTCATCGAAGATCTTCAATAAGGGTTTAATTCTCCCACCCCCGTTAAACTTCTACATTCATTGAAGATCTTCAATAAGGGTGTAATTCCCCCACCGCTGGTAAACTTCTACATTCATGGAAGATCTTCAATAAGGGTTTAATTCTCCCACCCCCGTTAAACTTCTACATTCATTGAAGATCTTCAATAAGGGTTTAATTCTTCCACCTCCGTTAAACTTCTACATTCATTGAAGATCTTCAATAAGGGTGTAATTCCCCCACCTCCGTTAAACTTCTACATTCATTGAAGATCTTCATAAGGGTTTAATTCTCCCACCCCCGTTAAACTTTTACATTCTTTGAAGATCTTCAATAAGAGTTTGATGATGATTATGATGATGATGATGATGATGATGATGATGTGTAAGAGACTCGCACAGGTCCCTATGCTGTGCGTGCCGATATACAACATGAAGTTAGCCATGATGCAAAAAAAAACTCCCATTTTTACCAAGTTTTCAGCACATACGAAGATGGCCGCCGACAAGCGCGGGCAAAACAAGGTGTTTGCGCGTAATATATTACACACATATATATATATAGATATATTATGAGTATTGTTATTATTATTATTATTTACCAAACGCACGCGTTGCAATATCCATGTCGTGGTGTCTCTATCGTGACATGTCCAAAGAGGATCAGAGACAGGTCGGTAGATTTTGAGTTGTGGCAGACAGGCATATAAACTGTTTCAAGGTGATTGATTCAATGCAATGATACATCAAACTACAGTCTAAGGTACACCATGGTAGAACTACCGTCATTTCGCAACCGTTGCGGCGATTCGATGATTGCAGATTGCGCGACGGTTTCTGAAATTCAGGTCTTGGAACAAAATTTCTGCCCCAGTGTCAAGTGATCTCTGCAAGTTGGCCTTCCACGTTGCAATGATTTGAGTCCTGGGGTTCTCCTGCATGAGATGCCCCCCATTCCATCACCCATCATCACCCCTATTCTCCAACGTTCATCTCAAACACTCAAACACCCCCAGAAACATCCAGAAACCATGGTGGATATAGGGCCGAGATCGGCCAAAGTGGTCGAACTTCAGCGCCGCCAAATTGCGTCAACACGAGTGAATAAACAAGTTCATCCCAGGAATGCATCTTATATATAATATTATACTGGTTGGTGGTTTGGAAGAATGTCATCATCCCAACTGACGAACTCATATTTTTCAGAGGGGTAGGTCAACCACCAACCAGATATACAGTAGAATGAGAAGTCGGGGAAAGCTTGTGAATCCCTCTCTTAGACCAGACCCGGGTCGCTCATTCATGCTGCACGGCGCATGCGGTTACTCCACCGCAGGAACCGTGAAGCCTTTCTGGATGCGACGGTTGCTTCTCTCACATCCCAACTGAGCTCACAGAACTGACACTCGGCTGGGCACAATCACCGGAAACCATGCTCATACAATAACTGGTTGGTGGTTTGGAACATGAATTGTATTTTTCCAGTTTTTTCCATATATTGGGAATAATCATCCCAACTGACTAATATTTTTCAGAGGGGTAGGTCAACCACCAACCAGTAGTGCTTGGGAAAGGCTTCTGTAATCGTTTGGAAATGTGTTTTCCATCCCCAAATCAGGAAGTCCATCTATCAGAAAAGATGATGCAACCCGATGGGCTAGTGTTTTGGGGATGGGCTGAAACATTTGACCAGTCTGGGGATGGAAAGATGCTGGTTTTCTCATTTTTTATAACCTCGGAGTTTTCAGTTGCAAAGGGGTTCAAACATTCTGACGAGATGCGCAGCGATGTGTGTTTGTGTGATTGACTTGACTTGTGACTGGACTTGACTGGACTAGACTGGATGAATTGATTTGATTTATGCACATTCAGTAGCCTATTTCCTTGGCCCAATCCAGTGTTTGTAGGTCTGTTGAGGTCAGAGGTCTAAATAAAACGGTTTGAGCATTCTCAAATGTCTCACACCAGAGCGCAAAAAAGGCCCCGTTTTGACCCTCTGCTAAGCATACAAAAAGCGACTGGAAAATCAGTATTATAGGTAATTCAACGAACTAAATGGCCATTTTCTATCACAATTTACGAGACCATAGCAGGCTTGGCAAACTGCTATGGTTTTATCAATGTCTTATATTCAATGGATTGGTTTAAGGGAAAATCTACAGGCAACCATAGATTTTCCAAGTAAATATGGGGCTTTCCTGTAAATGTTTTCTCTTAAACGAATCCATTGATATATGTAGTAGTTTTTTTGGGGGGGGAACCAATTTCTGATTTTCGCTCATCTCTTCAGGTACCGGTTTCGTTGCAGAGGACGATTCTGAAACGGCCCTGTGGCTGCTTGTGATCCTAGTGGCTTGGCTTTGAGCCTGTTGAACCATGATCTTACCATCTATCCATAATATATATATATGTGTAAACTAGGAGCACAGCCTTTAGATGGCCGTGGGTTTTTTTGTGATCAATGTAATGTCATTGATCATATTTGATGTGCTCGTGCCAATAGGAATTTGTGTGATGTTATTTTCAAGGTCGTTAACCCCTTATTCACAAGCAGTTTCACGAAAACAGGTATTTCGTCTGCACAAAACTAGCATTTTTGTTTTTGTTGCCGACCCTGAAACTACTTCGTCCTCACATGTTTTTAGGCGTCTTTTGGTCAGAGCAGCGCTTCCAGTTCTTCCAAGAACCTTTGAGGATCTGGACTTTCTAAGCTGGAACGCCAGCACCACATGAACACATATTGTGTCACTGAGGGGTGCAAAGTGGAATGTCCACGCTCTTCGTGCTTCAAAACCATGTGAGCTGGCAAGAAGTGACGTATGAGTGCAAAGTTCAAGGGAACTTCCGGTAGCCTAGCATGACGTATGAGTGCAAAGTTCAAGAGAACTTCCAGTAGCCTAGCATGACGTATGAGTGCAAAGTTCACATGAACGTTACTACATGCCCCACCCCACCCCACCCCAACCCACCCCACCCCCCCCAACGTCAACAAAACACCACGGCCATCTAACGGCCGCGGTCCAACTACACATACATACACAACACATGTATTATCTATATGCAGTACATATATTGATTATATAATATATATGTTCGGTTTGCATTTTACAACAGTTGCCATCAACAATCACAAAACAATGAGAAAGCCAGTCTGTATGGTTCGGCTGGAAATAAGGCACCAATCACCTGTTTGTTTGGTCACTGGCTAGCACCATATGTTTAGAGACATCCAAAACGGCCCGGCACCATGTCTGGCAGGTCGTTTTGTTGATTTTGGCTCTGGTCCTTCTGTTGATACTTTGCTGGCGACTTCGCAGTAAACATCAAGCAACAAAGGAGCAGCTTGCACACTGCCAGGAGCGGGATGGTTCGATGCCTTCCGGGGACAGTCGAACAATTCAGCCGTGTTCTCGTCAGGATGAACTATTCACGCGACCTCAAACATCAAAGCAGGAAAAGCAGGAGCAAAGAGCTGGGATTTGGTGCCAATCCTCGGTGGCTTCGTGTTATGTCGCTATACCATTAGGGGTTGATGGCGATTCATCAGGTTTGCTGAAAAAACCTATGCTGATGCTACAAGGCATAAATAAATATAAATAATGCAAATAATTACCACAAGGGGATTCTTTACCACAGCAGACTTCAGCAATTGATTTTTGCCGAAAAATTGGCTACAATGTTTCAGTCTTTAGATGTATTTTATCAGGTTTTGGCAAACTTTCGCCAAACCCTAATAACTATAGTCTATAGTTATAAGTACCATCAACCATAGTTATTGGAGTTTTGTTCACCAACTTAGCTATCTTTTGGGGGGCCCACATTGTATAAAACGTGGGAATTTCCGAAAAGTTCCCAATTTTCGGCAGATTTTCTCTGGGTGCGCCAGGAGCCAGGCTTGCAGCGACAGATGCGGAACCTGGGTTGCCCTAAGGTGACTGGATAGGACTGGATATGTGGATGATGGATATAGCAGCTATGGCCCCAAAAAGATAATTAGAATGATATAGAATGTCAATGTAAAATTTGGTTTTAAAATAGTGGTACACTGAACCTTTTCGATCATTTTGGGGCTTACTCTACATCATATAGTTAATTTTAAGCCAAGAGCAGTAGACTCTCAGTAAACAGGAGTGCCACAGTTTGTGATTCATTGGGTCAGCAACATTCATTTAACACATAAATTTGATTCACTTTCTAGCTGGAGGGTGGCAGTTGACAGGCCTGTCCTCCGCATCGCAGCGCTGCGCCAGTATCTTTCCAGTACCTCATATTTGGGTGTGTCTGAAAATGTGATCTACTGTGGTAAACACAACAATAAACCATTCCCAAGTCATCACCATTTTGATGGGTGGTATAACCATCCCCAAATGGTAGGTTTGCATCAGGGATATGATGAGAACCATTTGACGCCCGTTTCGGACAAAGCCAAATGTTGTTGGCCATAGCAGATTCTTGGACCCCATGTCTACAGGGACCTTTCCATGATCAAAAGACAGGGTACTGCAAGACGCAGCATATTCTGGTTGGTGGTTTGGAACATGAATTTTATTTTTCCATATATTGGGAATAGTAACCCCAACTGACGAACTCATATTTTTTCAGAGGGGTAGGTCAACCACCAACCAGATATGTGTTGATTTGCCGATATGGACCTTTACATGGATGCAGATATCACCCCACAATTCACTGTTGATTGTGTGTCTGGTTGGTTTCGAGTATTTCTGGTTGAAGTTGGTGTTTGTCCCAGTTAATTTGCCTCATATGCCTCTTTGTTTTAAGTTGTATTGACAACAAAGTGATGATTTAATGGGATCCTTAATGAATGGGGATTTCGTTGGGAAGTACAACGAACTGTCAGAAAACTGGCTGTATCTGAAGGATTTTGCTCCGGGTTTTTGTTCTTTCCTTTTTAGACACGCTTATGTTTAAGTCAGATAGCGGCGAGTAGAACTCTTGCCAGATCCAAACATACTTCTCCGAAGTGCGCATGAATGTTGCTGTGATTCGGAGCAGACAATAGCTGCTTGGGCAAATTGAGCATGGCTTCAACACGCTGTTGGTCGATGATTCGGGGATTGCACTACCATTTCACTGGGGATGATCATGAAATATGGTTGCTACCCTCTGGTAAAAGTTTACATAGCTATTGAAAATGGTGATTGATAGTGGATTTACCCATTAATAGCATGGTGATTTTCCATAGTTATGTTAGTTTGCCAGAGGGTAAACTATTGTAATATGTTGTTTGTCGTCATGATTTTCGGTGAGGAAACTCCAACGTGAACTCGATGATGCAAACCAAAAGCTCGCTGCAAAGGCGGGCGGAAAGGGGCTGTGCTGTCGGACAGAGCAACCGCAAGGTGTCAACGGAGCTTTTCCTTGACGGAGATAGTTTGCTTGTGGTAACAATCCCATGACGGATCCATGGTGCTGGTATATATGCTAACATAAAGGGGGTATATTGATGGTTATTGATGGGATCTATGTTACCATTTATAGCAGCACCATGGATCCTATGGGAATCATGCTGAAGATTGATCCAAACGGAACTTTTTTGCGGAAACGGGCTGAGTTCGTGAGCGGAGGTCAGAAAAAAGGAAGCACGGAAGTGAAATCGGAGTCATGCACTGCAACAGATGGAGACGACTGTGTCGATTCGACTATCGCACATAGATAGACCTTCATCTGAGATCATCTGAGGTATACATTCCAACATATTCCAACATATTCCAACAGGAGAATTTTTAATCCAACAGGGAATCTATTCCAACTGTATATTCCAACATATTCCGCCATTTACCCTCTGGTAATTTAACATAACTATGGAAAATCACCATTTTTAATGGGAAAACTCACTATAAATGGCCATTTTCAATAGCTATGTTAAATTACCAGAGGGTATTTGCCAAAAAAAGCACGTCGACACATATCAACGTGGTGACTTTTGCTGTGACGCAAGGCTGCGATGGAGTTCAAGCTGCAAGAAATGCAGGAACGACTTGGCAAGGAGTGAAGCGAAACCAGCTGTGGTTTTAGTATGTTTTAGCTGTGGAAGAAACTTGGAACAAAACTCTGGGTCAATTAGTTTGTGACCTCACTGTGACCTCACTGTGACCTCATGCTGATATGGAGAATGATCCCGAAGGGTTTGTCTTATTTCAGCGTTGGTGAAATACTATAATTTACCCAGAAAGCATGATAAAACCTGATGTGAAAAGCCCAAACTTTGGCAGGTCACTGGCAGGTCACTTCCGTTTCGCGGTTCCGCGAGATCGTTGAGCCAGATTGAGCCAGTGTGCGAGATTGTTCCTGCCAAAATCTGACCTGCTTGGCCTCAGTGATCAATGTATCAACCAGCAATTAATATGAATATCTGGAAGGTTCATGAATATCCAATATCCCACTGGATATCTTAAATTAATATGTTGATATTGGGATATAGGGTTAATGTCCGGCCACACTGTTGGATCGCGCAGGAGGAGGAAAATGTTCGACGAGGTCAAGTCCCTTGGCAGTCAAGTTGCAACTCTCCCAGTAAGTGGTTGACAATCCACAAGTGGGGACATTCCATATACAAAATATATACAATATATACAATATTTAATATGTACACATATTAAATATGTACACATATATTTGTTCAAAAAAAACCAACTATATCTATTATAACAGGGGTATTCCATTAATTCTTACCTTAAAGGGACCAGGCCTTGGATTGTTTTTTTTTCCGATTGGTTTCTGCATGGGATCTAAGGAGCTATGGAAGTTGAACAAATCCATGTACAGCATTCTTCGTCAGGTCGTCCAGGACATCGTCTGGGGGTGAGAAGTTTTATCAACGATTTTCCAGGTTGAACCAGTAATTTCTCGTTGTGTTCATGCATAAATGTGAATGCTATTACATCAAGAGTATCTATATATATAATATATAATATAGATAATTAGATAGATAGATATATATATATTTACCTTACAAGAAGCGTTTAATTTTGTTTCTCGTCTTAGAAAGCGGAGCCAGCCCTCAGCACATCGTGAATTGCGTTGGAAGATGGTGAATCAATGAAAGGCTGCAAGGATGTATCAAACATATTCATTCATATCTATGAATGTGCATGGTATGGATGTTTAAACATATATAGATAGATAGATAGATAGATAGATAGATATATAGATATCTGCAGACACATGTACAGACAGTAAATGATAGTATTATATGCCTGTGTTTCAAAATTATGCATATTCTTGTATATACAGGTGCCTGTGGGTTGTGCGTAGATATCCATACCTGCGACGTCTATTGCGATCTCTCAGCAGTTGACTTCCAGCTTTAGATCCCTCCAAAGGTGAAGAATGATTTTGTCCGCTGTTGGCGGGGGAGCATCCCATATCTATCTATCTATCTATCTATCTATCCATCCATCCATCTATCTATCTATCTATCTATCTATCTCTCTCTATCTCTCTATCTATCTCTCTATCTCTCTATCTCTCTATCTCTCTATCTATCTATCTATCTATCTATCTATCTACCTCTAATGATGTATATATATATTATAATTATATCGGTATACTTTGTTTAAGAGTTCTTCTTTTCTTGTGGTTTAAGAGTTCCAAGTTGGGAAGCAGTTGAACAAGAACGTTATATATTAGGTGGCTTGTGAAACATGCGCAACTCCTATGAAACGTGCAATACTCCTATGAAACGTGCAATACTCCTATGAAACGCACATCACTTCTATGAAACGTGCATAATTTCTATCAAAAGTGCATAACTTCTGTGAAACGTGCACCTCTATAACACACTGCAAAGAACTCTTGTATGTTCCTATAGCCTCATCGTTCTAAAACACTGTAATGAACTCTTGAATGGTGAATACCCAATTATATATTACAGTACAAGGTTTTGTGGTATTGATATTTTATCTATTTATGCTCCACCATTTGCACCTTTACAGAAACACATTTGTCATTTACAGACACAAAGGATGCCGCGTTCACCACGTGTTCCCATGTGTTCCGTGGAAGGATTCGCGAGACTTCGCACAGGGTGTCCGCGACGCTGGCGAGAAGGTGGATGTTGTTCACGTGAACGTGTTTTGCTAGCGCTGGGCCGTTTTGCTACCCAAACAGGTTTCTTATTATGGCTACAAACGAACCAATATAATATGACTGGGGATTTACGCGGATCTAACCAAAAATAATGGGTTTGCTGACGCAGATGCAATTTTATCAGGAGCTATATCTTCACAGTGTATCAGCTGAATCAGAAGTGATGGATATGATCAACAGTGGATTGGATTCAGCCAAGAGAAAGGGAGATGTCCCCAGAGCGCTCGTTGTCTATAGGGCTCCTTGGGGAACCTGTTTGTCCCTAGCTTTTGGAGAGCTCCAGCAACAAAGTGGTGGTATTCCCAGGATCGACAAGCGAAACAAATTCCAACCGGACTCCAGCTAGCCATTGGCGAAACTGGCCAGTTTCAAAAGGTGCTTTCACCAGCCTAACTACAGCCTTCAAGGATGGCGAAGAAAATCAAATTGGGATAACAATGGATAGCACACATTTGCTGCATGGCAGGGATTTGCTATATGCCATCCCTACTTATTTTAGCTGGTTTCCCGACTCAAGCGCATGTGAATTAACTTATCTTGGGGCTGAGTTGAAAGCATAGATGTAAACATGTTGGGCTGAATGATTTTGATGAGGCTGTGGGCGCACTTTTAGATTCAGATCAGGGCTATGATTCTGTTTGATGCTGTTTTCCCAAATAGTGCGTTCATGCTGGGTTTTTTTAAACGTTATATGTAGTATAAGGGTTAAAGGCCGGGTTTGATTGAGACTTCGCATGAGAATGAGCAGCCCGATGTTTTGCGTCGACACTCTCGCAAAGAAGTTCCAAGATGTAGATGTTCGCTTTGACCGCGCAGTATTTGGTGAAGGTGGACGACGTTTTTTGAAGGGCTGAAAATGCCCATTGGACTCGTTACCTGGTCATATTTTGCCGGAGCTTGTCTGTCGATCTGCCGGTGGAGGCGTGTTCCCGGGCTGCAGCTACTGCTGTGAGCCGCCACAACAACAACAACAACAACAACAATTCGTATGACAAATGGAGGTTTCCTAAAGTGGGGTTCCCCAAAATGGATTGTTTACAATGGAACATCCTACAGTTATGGCCATTTATTAGTTATAACTGGTTATAAATGGGATTATACAGTCTATAAATGGGGTTATAAGTACTTATAACTGGTAAAGGGCCATAACTGTATTAAAATGGATGATTTGGGGGTATCTCTTCAAGCCAATCCAATTTGCCGATTCCTTCGCCGCTAATATTTGATGTTCAGGCTCCGGCTGTCAAGCAGAGGACGGCGTACGGGTGCAGGTTCGTTCACAACTTTCCGAAGCTGCACATGACGTCTATAGAACGAATTGAACATTTCTCTTTCAGAAAAACTAAGTAGTGCTACGACTTGCCAGTGATTGGCCCTGGGATGCGCCAGGGATGTTGACAAGAAATCAACCAGGAAGTGGCAAAACTGCCAACCCTACTAACCTACTACGGTCTACCCTCTGGTAATTTAACATAGCTATTGAAAATTGCCATAGAAATAGTTGATTTAGCCATCAAAAATTGGTGATTTTCCATGGTCCATATGTATGTTTACCAGAGGGTAAGCATTGTTTTTACACGGTATTTTTCCCTCTTGATGCAGCAATCGAGATCCGCGATCCCTGGTGCCGAACCGCAACATACCGGGAACCCGCTATAGGGCGCATTGCGGGGCGGGTGGAGCCATGAAGGATGCACATCAAGTAGGGCAGTGAGACGATGCGCTAAAGTGCTGGGGCTGTGCAGGTGATTCCTGGCCGGCATGCTGGGAGGCCAAAACCATATCTCAATGTTTGATCATATTCAAACTCCCCGCGTAGCGCTGTCCTTTGGGTCCGGAAAAAAATGCAAGGCTAACAAAGATGTGCTGCTTTCATTATTTGATGGCGTGTTGAGATCGACGTGTTGCCACACGTTTTCGACAGCGGTAACATGTTTTCTGGCATGACAACGACAACAGGAACAAGAACAACAAGAAAAGGAAGAAGAAAGGCAAAGAAGAAGAACACAGAAGAAATAAGAAGAAAAGTTAGGAGAAGAGAAGAAGAATAAGAAGAAGAGAAGAAGAAGAAGAAGAACAACAACAACTACTACTACTACTACTACTAGCTACTACAACAACAACTACTACTACTACTACCACTACTACTACTACTACTACAACGACTACAACTACTACAACTACACTTGAATTACGCAAATAAATACATGGCATTTTTTGTCCAGCGCATAGAGTTTCAAATATTTCCCTTTCTGACAGCAGCAAGCAGATGTTTTCTCTTATATTGGTATTGTTGGTTGCTATCCCAACTTTGTGTCCTGCTGCCTGCACGGAATTAGTTGAAACATACACAATGAGCAGAGCATGGCTAGGGTCATTGCTTCCATCTTTTCCTACACGGGTCACTTGCTTGCAACAAGCTATTATGGATTCTTTGGCAGCAAAACACAGAGGATGCTGACTGATGTTGACCCAACTCGGTATTCTCCGGGGATCTGCGCCCCTGGAGTTGTTGTGCGCAGGAATTCTTGGTCCTTTCATACCTGGGGTGCGACACTGACCAATCTGGCTACTTTCTATATCTTTCAATCCTTTTCAATCATGTTCAACCTATTAAAAAATCACCCTGGTATTCTACCCTCTGGTAAACGTTTACATAACTATTGAAAATCACCACTTTTATATAATAGCTATGTCAACTATAACTGGGCCATCTATACCATAGCTATTGTGACATAACCAGAGGGTACCGTAGACCCCGTGATGCTCCGCGAGGATCGAACAATTCGAGGCCAAGTTGGCCATCAGCTCGGGCCGTAGAGATGCAGCTGAGGTGCGCTGGGTTTTGATTGGAGATGTATGGGTTATCACAGTGTGGTGACCCCAAGGTAGCTAAGTTGGTGAACAAAACTCCAATGTCACTTTGGTTTATGGTACGCAAATAACTATAGTTAATGGGGTTTATAAACCAACTTAGCTACCTTGGGGGCCCACATTGCAAATATGGATATGTGATATGATATTATTATATAGTTCTATATATCCATATTGGAGATGATATGTTGGAGATCTATAATTCTATAATATATATCATTATTATTTATATATTGGAGATCAATTGATATGATATTATCTACTGGATAGTCCATAGATGTCTGAGATTATATATATATATACATATGATTCTAAATCCATATTATCTATAGATCTATGGGATGATATGACTTATAATATGGATATACTCCCAATCTAACATATATGTTCATATCATAAAACCATATAATATGATTTAATATCTATGGGATGTATTAGGCTATTTGACTCATATGGGGGTGTCCATAGTCATGGGGGGGTACCCCAATAGCTGGATGGTTTATAATGGAAAAGCCTGAAAAGGAATGGATGATTTGGGGATACCGCTCATTTTTGGTATTAAGTTAACTAAGCTCCTAAGCCACTTGGTATTATGGACGATTTGCATTGGAATTATGGACTATAGTTGTTCATAACCATATTCATAATATATCATAATATCTTCTAATCCATTGAGAACGGGAGAGTTGTTATGTCTCATAAATGTTATCCACTATAGTGGCAAAAAAAAAAAACAGTCCAGGGGATTCAATGGAACAATACCCAAACAGAACAACAAGCCAAATAGGTGATTTTTCATGTTCCACTATAAAACTCAAAATGGTGCCCTATAAAATTTCACGTTCCACTATAGAATTTTTCATGTTCCGCTAAAAAAAAAGTTTCCTCCAAAATATTTCCACTATAAAATAACATACAGTGGGTTGTTTAAAAATTGATGTGATGAAGTTTTCTCATGCTTTCAGTTTTTGTTTTGGAGCTGTCCTGATTTTATAGAGGACTGGGAGTTGGGATGTGCTTGGTCGGCCGGGGTGTGCATTCTATAGAGGAGGCATTTTTTTTACAAAAGTATTTTACAAAATTGGTGTGAAACTGATTTTGTAGAGACTATTTCTCTGAAATTGGTTTCCAAACGAGTGGCTAGAGACCCCAGGGTTCTGATTTTGTACCGCCAACATGGGCTACATGGGGTGTGGGTTTGGGATTTTCAATGGGCTACAGGGCTGCGTAAATTGAATGTTAGGGTTTGTAAACTATGATTCCGGTGAGACATGGTGAGACTATAAAGTTATAAAGGGAATATCAAGGGGATATGTCTGGATATGTGGGTTTGACTTCTGCCCCGCGTTGGTGTATGGACAAGTCCTGCTGCTTAGCAGGACCAGAGACTATTAGACTATCAACATTGTTTGTGATGACAATAAAAAAAATGACAAAGGAGACAAACTTCTCAGCAACGCGTTACCAAACAGACAGAGCTGTCGGTGTCCTTGTTTTTCCCCAATTTATATAAAATACAGCAGAAAGGTTGCGACCACACCTGAACGTTGATGGAATGTGATTCATCAAATCCACAGCACACAGGCAGAACTGGCAATGCTCAAAAATGAGGTGCGAGAGCGGTGTCCAATTGACATCAGTTGACACTGTTGCTGTACTCAAGTTCGGCAACCGACAGCTCGAAATGACATTGAGTTTGTTGACAGGTGTTGACATTTTTTTGCATGTTGTCCACCTTGGTTTTTGTTATCCCCTAGTACATCTACTGCATGATTTAGACATGGCATGTTTTGGGGCTTGAGACAACCATCCCGAACCTTCTCAGGGCTTCCAAGGTTGGCAACAGTCGGTTCCTAGTGGAAGCGAGGCAACAAGACATGACAAAAAATGCATCTGTAATGAAGATGAAGAAAAGGCTATACCCCGCTTAAGTGTGCAAACATGATTCACTTACTTCAACTGAATTTGGAGGAAACAAAACATGTTTTCACTCTACAAATTGTTCACGTTTTCTCTCATGTGAAATATGTTGATTCTTAGGAATGCAGGTGTCTTGAATGGAACCTATGAAAGATGGCTGGTATGTTCAAAGGTGGTCCATGCAATTCAGCGACGCGACTGGAATTTCAAGCTGTTATTATTTTTGTTCAAAGGTACAATATGGATCAATATGGTACAATGATAAACCCTGGCATTAAGTGGGTTGATCATTTGTTTTCCCAACTAAAACATTTTAAAGGGTCCAGTTATGGGCCGTCAAAATAGTGTTTTCCACCCTTGACCCGCGAATTTCAGACAGTTGGTCTTGGCAGGGCGCTGGTCGTGGACAACCTTCCGAGGTGGATACGACCTGTGTGACTTGACGAGATCTGGGAGATCTGGGAGGTTGCAATGTTGGAGGATCTTGATGGTTAATGATGGTTAATCATGGTTAATAAATGTTAATCATGGTTAATAATGGTTAATAATCATTTGGTTGGTGGTTTGGAACATGACTTTTATTTTTCATTTCATAGATGGGATGTCATCCTTCCCATTTACGAAGTCCATCATCTTTCAGAGGGGTAGGTATACCACCAACCAGATCTTGATCGGATTGAACACAGAACATGGATCATAATGGAGGATCTTGATCCAAAATATGTTGGGATACATCTGTTGGAGGATCGATGTAGCAATCCAGCAAAATCCAAACAGAGTGAAATTCTGAAACAAGATGAGCCATATTTCTTCATTGGCTTTGCTTGGTCATGAGTTCGTCGGGACGCTATTTTGAAAAGAAAACCAGAGCCATGACAAAAGAAAGGCGTACTAAATGGGAACCTCTTCAATTTGATGTCATAGTTTCATTCTGGCGCCATCGCAAAACCTGTGGTTTGAGGACAGTGAGAGCCCCATCAGCATTTCTACAGGCTCGATGTTGGGTCTTCCTTCGGTTTGTAGGTAGCAACATCGCGGCCGTCTGCAAGAAACGGATCCATGTCGCATGAGCCGGAAAACGACTTCCTGCACCTTGCTACTCTATCACTTCATATCACTTCAATTTTGAGAGGCCAGAAGCATCCAGAAGCAGTTCTACTCACATTTTGTTTCAATTCGAACATGAGCACCATGACAATCCATGGCTCACGAATGACATAACTCGAGTCATGGCACCTTATCGGCTTATCGGGCCGTGAGCCACCGTGACATTATAGGATCATACTTGATGGCATTCGTGATTTAAGAGTCAACATGATAAAATACAGAGAATAAACTGAATAAACATAGTATATGTAAGAATGACATACAAGAACATGTTGATCATATATAAAATCTAGTATACCTAGAACATCCTAGAACAATATTGATGTTGATCATATATAATCTTACATCTACCAAAAACAACCAATTGTATATGTAAGAATGACAAAAAATGACAATGTATTGATCATTTTAAAAAACTAATATCAGATCATATATTTGATTAATGATCAAACAGTCTTCCATAGGAATGATGAGAATTGATTGATACCCTCTGGTTATTTCCCCACCTGCCAGGTGAGGGTTGTTAGATTTTATGTCAGTTGCCTGCTCCTCTCCTCCTCTTCTCTCCTCCTCTCCTCTCCTCCTCCTCCTGCTCAACCGCGACCCTCGACGCACAGTGTCCTCTGTCGGACCTCAACCACGACCATCCACGCCCAGTGTTCCCTGCCGGACCTCAACCACGACCATCCCCGCCCAGTGTTCCCTGCCGGACCTCAACCAGTGTTCCCTGCCGGACCTCAACCACGACCATCCACGCCCAGTGTTCCCTGCCGGACCTCAACCGCGAGTATCCACGCCAAGTGTTCCCTGCCGGACCTCATGTAGGAAGATATGGGACAAAGAATGTGCAGAAGAAAGTTAGAAGATAGAATGCCAGAAGATTTGCCAGATAATATGCCAGAAGATATGCCAGATAGAATGCCAGAAGATATACCAGATAGAATGCCAGAAGATATGCCAGAACATATGCCGGAAGATATGCTAGATAGAATGCCAGATAGAATGCCAGAAGATATGTCATAATATATGCCAGAAGATATGCCAGATAGAATGCCGGAAAATATGCCAGATGCAATGTCAGATAGAATGCCAGAAGATATGCCAGAAGATTTGCCAGATAGAATGCCAGAAGATACGCCAGAACATATGCCAGAAGATATGCCAGATAGAATGCCAAAAGATATGTCAGATAGAATGCCAGAAGATTTGCCAGTAAGAAAATGTATAAATGTCATGGTGGGGATCACACGAAGTAACGTATTTAACATAGCCATGGTATAGATGGCCCTAATCGAAACAGATGGTTTACCTATTAACAATGGTGATTTTCCATGGCAAACTGTTAGTCATAACCAGATGGTATCTGTGATGATCAGCACTCTCAGATTACCAAAGGGTAAATCCCATTAAAATCCAATAAATCGTCATTAAATCACCATTAAAATCACCATTAAAATCCCATTAAAATCCAATAACTCACCATTAAATCACCAGATGGTATACTATATTATATATCTATAATTATTACTATTGGATTATCTATTATTACTATACCCAACTACTAAATATAACCAGATGGTATCTGTGATGGCACTCAGATGGAACATGTCAGGTGCTGGACGCTTGGTGCGGTCCAAGGAGTCGCATGCGTCGCACGCCGCGTCTTCTGCAGCGTTTCCTGGCGAGGCGGAGCCAGCGGCGCGGTTTTGGTGCTACCCGGCCTGGTAAACATACAAAAAGCTATAGAAAATGGCCATTGATAGTGGATGTTCCCATGAAAAATGGTGATGTTCCATAGTTTTTTGTATGTTTACCAGAGAGTACCCCAATTGATGGTTGGTTTCCATGGAAAATCTTATGTTTAATGGATGATTTGGAGGTGGCCACATGACTTAGGAAAGCTCCATGTGTTTTTAAGTTTGGCTCAGAATATGTAAGATGCGGATGGTGATAATGGTGAAGATTTGAGATTGGCTAGACTTCAGTGACAGGACAGACAGAATCCTGGGAATTGTTCAGGAATAAAATACTAAAAGATCATTGAAATTTGAAATGACTAGGACGTGCTCGGGATCTTGTCCTAGTTTCCTGCTTTCAGACCTTGCGTCAATGTGCTTCAACGTCCCGGCCTGTGTCTGAATATTGCAGGAGATGATACTCCCAGCTTGAATCTGTTAAAGGCCCTGCTCTAGATCTAGGGTTTGGCCAGTGCAAAAACTGCAGAGCAGGCATCTCAGAATGAAAATGAAGAGCATATCAAGAGAGTACCCTCTGGTAATTTAACATAGCTATTGAACATGGCCATTTATAGTTGATTTTCCAATTAAAAGTTGTGATTTTCCATAGTTTTTTGTATGTTTACCAGAGGGTACAAGGAAACATGTTGAGAGGACATTGCTCTCCAATGTATGGATCAGTTCATACTTAGAGGAACCAAACAAGGCAAACAACGAGGAAGCAAAAAACAACAAGGGAGGGGTGAGTGTTTGCTTAGCGGAAAATGGGGTGGTATAATACCTCAAACAACATATACTTTCAGTACACACAAATACTGCAGATACATATTTCGTTCAGTGACTGCACTTGATGGTACACTGCCCGATACACCCAAACAGACTTCTTGTTCAGGTACAGTGAAAGATACATAATGCTGATGATGATGATGATGATTACTATTATGATAATGACGAGAACGATGATACTGATGACGACGACGGCGACGACGATCCTTCCTAAATCGTTACATGGTCTCTTGGAATTGTACCCGCGGAAAGGTACAAACGTAAAGGACAGTTGAAAAGGTATGGCCTTGGTTGCGGATTCCTGTGTTTGCAAGACCTCGAGGGGTCACTGATGACAGAACGGAGGAGCTAGTCCAGTGTCAACCTTATTTTCCACTGACAATGTTCCCTCAATAAAGATACCACTAGAATCACATTTGCACACTATTTCTATCATATAGATACAACATTGGTAGAAAATTGAACTAGCCAGACATGATCACCCTGGTCCTTCAAAACACACAACTACACAAGCCATGACGACAATAGCCGGTGCCCTTTGGGCAATCTACGCTATAGCACATTCGACCACACTTGATATTGTAGGAAATATGCATGTCTGAAGCTGATGTGGTATTCCTACAGTATTTGGTTATTCATGACTCAGGTTTTTCATTTTGACAGCTATCAGGCTTTGAATGCCAAGGATTTCTGACTCTTTTGAAGCATTTCTTCTGGTAAGAATAGCATCCAACAACGAAAGAGTGGAAGGAGTCGTTCCAACTTTGGCCATAAGACAGTTTTTGAAAAGCAGTTTTACCGCCTGGTAAGTTAACAGAAGAATGTGGAAAATCAATCACCGTGTTCATGTTCGGTCAATCTCCCTCTTTTTATTGGTCATGTTCCATCTCAAAATGTGAACGTTACCAGAGAAATCATTACCCTCTGGTAAATAAACATAGACCCTGAAAATCACCAATTGTTAATGGAAACTAGTCTTCCAACCCCTATCTGCCAGGGTTGAACTGTTAAGTTACCAGAGGGCAGATGTTTCAGCAGGAAAAAAAAACTATGGACATGTTTGTCTTGTCGCTTCCCTGCATCGCAGAACGCTTTCTCGCAGGTGCCTCCCATGGAGTCTCCCCGTTTGGTGCTGCAGGTTGAGGCTGAACCGCCAGATCCTCCAAAGGCACCCTGTTTCAGGGCGAAATCCCCAATCTGGTATCCTCTGGTAATTTTTCAGATAGCGAAAATCAATGAAAATCACCATGTTGAATAGGAAAACCATCTAAGATTGGTTATTCTGAATTATATTGGTTTGATATGGTTTGATTCTTTCTGAAATATATTCTTTGGATTTCTTTGGAACGTCTAAAAGGCTAGCGGAGTCTGCAAGTTGGAATGTTCACCAGGTGCAAAATGACGATGTGACAGGTTACCAGCTTGGTTGTTTTCCAATCCAAGTTAGAAAGGGTGAAGACCCAAGAATCTGAGATGTGAGATACACTGGTGCATCCAATTGCAATTACACTACTTTTGGCTATCAAGCATCAAATCAAAGTCGAAAGGCGCCCCTACTAAGCACTTGTGGCCAGAGAACCGAGAAATCACTGCTGAGGAGCTGAGAAATTGCTAAGAAACTGAGAAATTGCTGAGAAACTGGGAAATCACTGATTCAAGAATGTCATAAGATGGGTTGATTTGTTTCAGCTCTGACCTGCAGCGATGTAATTTCAGCCAGCCGGGTCTCGCCGGGTCTCGTATTTCAGGGAGGAACCTTTGTGCAATCATCGCACGGAATTCTCATCCGTTTCTCAATCCTCAATAGGGAATCGATGTAGAGTGTAGAGATATACCATTATTTAACATAGCCATGGAAAATCCATTATAAATGGAGGTTTTAATGGGAAAATATGGGAACATCATCTATAAATGAGCCATTTCCCATGGTTAAATAACCAGAGATATAGTTCCAAGATCTTCCAAGAATCAAGAAACCTACTAGATCACATGCTGAATTCCTATCGGTGGAGCCTTTTGAACGGCTGCTGATATCACCAGAGGTGGAGTCGCCGGCCTTCACCGCTGTGGCCCCGAAGCTTGGCGGCGCTGCCTGGGAAGGTCCTGGGGGGCTCCGTTGGAGCGATCCGCCACTCCGCCCAGGACGGGGCCACCGGCGGCCTTTGCTCCGAAGGAACGCGTGAAACGAGGCTTGAGTCGACAGGCCAGGGATGCTGAAAAAATCTGTTTCCTGATGTGGAATGTCATGCTGAAGAACCAGGAGAAATCCGGAGAATTTCTAGAAAAATTGATAAAAATATGGTGACTTTTTTGCAGAAAACTCTGATTTCACCAGCCCAAGTCATGACTTTGCCATGCCCAGTATCCTGGTTTCGCGCCGAGGAGTCCAAGATTGAACAGGTCCTTGCAGAGCGCTTGGATCTGACTCCAGGAAATCTCCGAGAGGGGTTGAGGTGCGCCACAGCCGGATGGGACCGGTCTGCCTTGGCGTTCCCAGAGAGGTCTTTGGCAGAGAAGAGCCATCTTTTTTTCTTGGATGAGAAATTTGTTAGAGTACCTTTGATGCAAAAGGTCTGACATAGATTGAAATGGAACATCCTCATTTGAACAAAAGAATTTCCACGGGCGATTTTCTACTGACAGAGTCTCAGAGTTGAGAGGTTTAGAGATGGATTCCCAGAGGGTATTTCCATTTGCGCCAGCAGAGGTGGTTTTTGAATGTTTGCATGATGATTGATCTTGGTTTCTTGCAATCGGATGTTGTTTGGAAAACAACACGTGAGCCATGTCACCTAGAAGTCAGGTGTTTTTTTTGAAAATGGATCATATTGGATCGGTCTGACATCAGCCATCATCAGCCTAATAATACTTTACTGCTTGGTGGTTTGGAACATTTATATATATTTTCCATATATTGGGAATGTCATCATCCCAACTGACGAACTCATATTTTTCAGAGGGGTAGGTCAACCACCAACCCGTTTAAGTTGCAGTTCTCATGTGCCTTCCGTCCTGTCGCGTTGTGTGGATGTGACATGGGGATGGATATCGTGACATCGCGTCGGACGGTCGGAGGCAAGTTGGGCAAAAAGCCAAAGAGCGCCGGGGCCTTTGACCTGTCGTGGCTATCTCTGTAGCTGTGGTATTTGTATATGTTAAGTCTTTCCCATCATTTTACCAAGGTAAAATGTATATTACATAATATATCAAAATATATTGAACTATTCTAAAATATTCTATAAATAATCACTGTTAGTAGATCATCCGAATTTTGATCCAACTGTGTGTGTGTGTATGTCCAGCATAAGTAGTCTCTGAGGAGCCATGATAGGATGGACAGACAGATGGAGCAGTAGTGACTATCCATGTAGACAAACTCGTCAGACGACTTTATGGGTATTGAGATCGATATCCAAGAACCACTCGGAGTCTATTTAATCACCTGTTTCTGACGTGTCCATGTTGGGGTTGTTCAAGGATACCAGAAACCAAATGTAATTCAGTAGAAACTATTTTAAATGTGTCAGAAACTGAAACTGTATGTAATTTGTTTTAAATTATACCTGATAGTCATAGTGATGGTGATAGTCAGTGATAGTGATGATGGTTGTGAATCATCAGAAACCTTTCCTATTTTTCTTTGATGGGTCCATGTATAGCAAGATCGTTATTGATATCCCTGGTCCATGCCAACCGCCTGGTAGATAATGGCAAGTAGTTAAGTAATGTTATGGGTTTCAAGTAGGCATCGGAATGAGTTTCTAGACTTGGGCTTTGTGAATTGCTAATCGGAGTCATTAGTCAAAAGTTAAGTTCTGAGTTACAACTTGTAAGTTTATAGATTTAAGTTAAGAGTTTAAAAGTTACCAGTGATTCAATGTTCACAGTTAAAGAAAACAGTGTAACTAAAGCAGTATAACATAACTAATAGTATAACTGTTTAACCGCAAATCAGTAAACCAGCACAACGATTTTTACCTTACAGCTGATTATAAGTTGACATTACAAATGATGAATGCTAAACAAACACAAATGATGAATAAAACATTGTTGTAACAATGACTCTTGACTACATATTGATCTTTTTTGTACATCAATTGTATCACATCAAATCAAAACATATTAGTATCAATTATTAGTTTGTTAATATTAATATAATAAAATCTAAATACAAAAGATGATATGCAGTTATTGGGCATGGATTTATACAGTGTGAAACGGTTACTACGGTAAAATGCTCAAAGTAGGGGACACAGTCAGAAACGGTATCTACGGTAAAATACCGTTCAAAAAAATGCCCATTTTCCGGAACGATCTCAGAAAGTCTCGGACGGTCTCAGACTATATCTGGTTTTGGCTTAGATATAGCAAGGAACGGCAACTACGGTTTAATACTGTGTGTGTTTTTTTGGTGGGAAAAACAGAATAACTGAATTTTATAAAACATGCATTACCCATTATTTATTCACTACTTGCTCACCAACAATTATTAACTATATATGTTCTTGTCCTATGTTATGATGATGCTTGAGTAAATATCATTTAACTACAACTATCGGCTATTTTGTAAGTTGTGGTTTTGAGTAGACAGTATTCCGTATCCTGCTTTTACACTCTAATCATGGTATCAATCAATCAATGTCAACATTATACTGTATCAGACTGTATCAAAGGCATTTGAAATTCTGAAATTTCCTAATTAATTATATGGTTGGCTCAGAGGAATAGTCAATACATGGGTCATTCACACAATACACGGTACATGTGACGAAGTACAAAAATGCGAGTCAAACCCAAAGCATACCACTGCTCATTGCAAATCAATGTCATCCACAATTATGTGCCAACTGATATCCAGAACAGCCCGCTCACGCGAGCTCAGCATACCCAAGTCCCTCTCGTCGACAAGGCCAATCAAAATTAGATCAGGGGCCCGGCTGGCCCAAGAAGGGAAAGACAAAAGGCTGGAAGGTTCTCAAATGAGGTTGCCCTACTTGACCCTACTAGCCACTAGCCAAGCTTAAATCCCGGGCCGTAATGTTCAACCTCTTCTTTTATTTGGCAATCTCATGTGTACTCTTCACAGACAGCTTCCGCTCCTAGCCCAGAGGCTTGGAAAAGGGAAGAAAATTGGGAATTAAAATGCCATCAGAAAAGGGATGAAAATGGAGAAAATACAGCCAGAAACCGTCCCTAATGAAACCGTGAGAAACCGTCCCTGGTACCAAAAAACAGCCAAAGGGAGCTCAGGAACTATATGAAATTTTGGCTGGGACTAAAAGGGAAAATTGGCCCTGTGCTGCCTAATTTCACCATTAGCCAGCCACAGCAAATGTGCAAATGCGATTGGCACCATTTAAAAAGCTGCATCTAACACGAGTCTGATCTAGTGAATGGGTCGGAATATGGAATAGGAATAAATCAAGATGCCCAACTTTTGAAAACATACCATGTCTGTCAGTCTAACATAACATTTTTGACTCTGACAAAAACATACAAAAACAAAAATTGTTCTTCTTTAACCATGGCCGGGCTCAGCTACCTCCTACTTTGTTCATGACGAATGTGACACTGACTACTAATTTGATTAATGGGTGGGTCCTTCACAACAGGGCTTGGCTCCACGCATTGGGCATATCCGAACTTCTCAAGATGACGCACCACATCAGATACGCCAGCATACTCATGAACCTTCTGGAGACGATTTCTCAAGAAACATATCATAGACAAGAAAGCAGCGTAGCCCACCAAGTCACATTGCACGCCAATCACATACAGCCGCATTCGCCGCGGAGATCCAAAATCCCGGCCCTTCAATGAACGCATGCGTAAAATCATTGTTTTCTGGAAATGACACTGTGGTTTGAAGGAAATGCAAGTACCACCCACCGACCATGGCAGACTATGACTCTGACTATATCATTAAACTATATCAAAACGGTTCTGATTTTTAAACTCATGGGATTCAATCAAGAATCACACCATATCATTATCGGTGAATCAGCTATGATTTAATCATATCATATTTAATGTCATTTTCATTTTTACTATCCTACCGCCTACCTACCTACCGACCTACCTACTGACCTGCTTACCTTACCTGTCATCTCTCTATCTGTTGTTTGTTTGTTCTCATGGTTCATGTGCACTGCATATCATCATCAGCCCCAGTCGCATGACTGAATGCACAAAGTAAAAAAGCAAACTTAACAAGACCATGGGCCCTTATGAACATGATATGGACTGACATCTGACGTATGGATACGGTTTCTGTCAGTACCCGTCCCCACTTTCTAGTGGACAAGGCACCTGAACCTCATGACGGCTGTGTGGTACTTCGTCTCAATGACTTTCAGCCCAAAGTCTTCACCAACCGTCTCAATGTATTCATCCATGACTCCCTGTTGCCGTGTTAGTGTAATTCTTTGTTTCATTCAACCCATATCTTTAGCCTTACCCTGTAGTTGTCTCTCGGTTTGCTTTGTCCTGCGTATTTCGTGTTGCCATCTTCTGTTCATTACAGAGTTCCTACCGTCATAGTTCCTGTATTTGGTTCAGGCTTTCGGCGGCATTCGGCATTAAAAAATGTATTCAGAATTCAGACCCCGTCCAGGATCCAAGATGTGTGAGGCTCCAGGACCCCTGTAACAATTGGAATTATCTAGCCTCTATGACTCTATGACTCTATTTCCTTATAGTTCCTAACAATTTTCCCAATAGTTTCTGCAGTTGTTTGTTATAGTCCCACCAAAACTCCCCAATAGTTTCTGATAGTGTTTTCTGGCCACAGACAAATAGACTGCCAGCAGTTCCAAGATATCTACGATATCCATCTATATCAATATCCATACAACTTATATAATGATATTCAATAAAATGTACGTGTATATATATAAATATATATATATACATATATATATATGTGTGTGTGTCATATCCATCTACTATATCTCATTATTATGGGTATATCTACTATATCCATCCATATCCATCTATATCCATAGAAAATTATACGAATAGACCGCCAGACGCAAGCAGATCTTGCGTTGATGGAGAGCTGAGCAAAAATACTGGATATGTTACGCTACAGCAGATCGGCAGATCATGAAAGAAGTTTAGGTGATCACAGTAAGATAGTAAGTATAAGCCAGAGACTTAAAAAACACATGTCGTATTAACAGAGCTTTGATACATGGCAGATCTATGTCAGTGAAATAAAAGCATTGCAATTCGCAAGCATCGCTTTCTGACCGTTTGACATCGGTCAGATTGAGGTAGCATGGTGCTTGAGCGTGTTTTGAGCAAGCGATTGGATGAGGTGCCTCCATCGAACCGGCTGCCAAAATGGGTCACAAAAAAGAAAAGATCATTTGCAAGGGCATTGGAACAGGTTTGTCTCAAAGAACACTCGCAAAATATTTCATGGGTATCATGGATGATATTATTACACAGACCCCGAGGTTTGCCCAAGCCCAGAATAGCATAAATACCAGGGAATTCTGTATGACGTCAAACAACGGGAAGGATTTTATATTCAATTATGTTGCTAGGGTGTTAACCAAAACATGTTGCTTCTACAAATCATATAACCAGAACATGTCGCTTCTACATATAATATGGAATTAACCAGACAATCATTAGGGTTTCTTTCAGGGTTTCAATAAGATATGAAAGTCCCCCGGCCCCATCGAACAATGAACCATACAGTCATTAGGGTTTCTTAAAGGGTTTCGATTCCGGACGCTCGTTGCGAGCCCGGGGTAAATCTCAGGGTTTTGCCGTATTGATGATATTGAATCATGTTTTTTCTCCCCTTGTTTAAGATTACCAATGTATGATATGGCATGGATATATTGACTTATATCATATATAACTAAATAATACAACTATAATATATATATAGTATAATTATGATATAATTATAATATAAATATAGTATAATTATAATATAATTATATATATATAATATAATTATAATATATAATATATATATAATATAATTATAATATATAATATATACAATATAATTATAATATATATATATATATTATATGATTAACTATATATATATATATAGAGTATAATATATATATATATACCACTTTTAGACGCAGACACATTTTGCTTGGATGAGGCCAAAGTTCAGCCCAATGAATCCAATGGCGAGATTCCAGTGGTGTGGGGACTAAGTCACTCTTCGTCTCCGCAGAGCTGTTCAGCTGAAGAAATGCTTCATGATTTTTTAGTATATGTCTATATATTATGTTACTATATGTCACATATATGTCTATATATTTGTTGTTTCCCATGACCTTTTTTGTATGTTAGTATATGTACATATATATATAGTATATATTTGTGCAAATTATAGGGACCGAAGCCTGTTCTCCCGAACACTGGAAACACGGTCTTTATATGGGGAATCCCAACATGACCCAACATTTCAGGTTAGTGAATTATTATAAGTTGCCCAGATATTTTTACGGAAAACCCCGGAAAGATGGAACATGAACAGCAATTGATCAGTATTTTAGGTTTTTGTTGGGTATTTATCGTTCATAATTCCTTCACATTACTAAACATATCACAAATATTGAAAACTATAGGTCCATTTCCAATTTTTGGGAAATTTCAGGCTGGTCAATTTTTCATTGAGCCCCTTTCGCATGGTCTTCTCATAGGGGGGACGTCGAATTTGGGGATCCCGACATAGTCTCTGCTTATTTTGGATGGCTGGCTGGTTGTGAGACCCGACATGGCTCTTCCCAGTGAGTCGACTTTTGATTTCATCGCCTCAATCCAGGAAAACCAGTCCTTCGAGCATGAGCATGTCCATAGAAAAAATATCCATGAAGCAAGTACCAGAGTACATTGATTATTCCTCATTGTTCAATGGCGCTGGCAGTTCCGCGAGAGGATTGTGGTAACCAGAAAATCAGGGTTCGTGTGGATGGTTTGTCTCCAAATCAGGTAGATGGGCTGCCCGCATGGCTTAAATCCAAATCCTTTCGGGATATCTATCAATCCATTCATTTACCCTCTGGTTATTTAACGTAGCGAACTGGAGAATCACCATGTTTTATCGGTAAATCATCATGTTCAACATCTATTTCTATGGGCTATGGCTTCCATGGCTATGTTAAATGACCAGAGGGTAATAGATACATACTAGTATATACTGATATATTGAGGTTTCTGTAAATGGGGGTATCCCAATACTATAGCTGGATGGTTTATTTCATGGAAAATCCGAGATGAAATGGATGATAACTAGGGGTCCTCCTATTTCAGGAAACCTCCATATATATATATATTATATTGATCACCATTGATCCCCATTGTTCATAATGGTGATTGATGGTGATACCTGTTGATAATGGTTATGCTGTTGATCACCATCATGATCACCATGATCACCATTGTCAATAGCTGTTTTCATAGATAATGGTGATAGTAATTAGTGATAATGATGTTTTTTGTTGGGGATGTGTTTCATATCATTTAACTATTATTATCATATCCCTATAACCATTGTTAATATATTTTTATCACCATATAAATGATAAGCATCCGCTACATATTATTATGATATATCATTAACTGGAGTTGGTTAGAATTATAAATACTATATCCTCTATATGTGATACCAAGTCTATGCTTAGTATAAGTCATTATTGTAGATTATATGTGTCTTTCATAGGCTAAGCATCATCATTGTTAGTCTATAACCCATGGTGGCGAACCATGGTGCTGGAATATTTATACACCAACATTTGCCCTTGTCCAAAATCACCCAGTTTTGTAAGTAAATATACCACCATGGAACTGGATGATGAGAAAATTTTAACCGGAAAACCCTATATTTCATGGTAAAAACCCATGGGTTTCCGGTTCAGATTTTCCCTTAAACCAATCCATTGATTTTTGGGGATCATCATTAACCATCATTAACCATCATTAACCCATCATTTCATGGGCTACTGTCATTCCCCAGAATATGGGCAATGATGGTTCTCATTTAATCGATCACCATGTTGCTGAGGAACCAATGACCTCCACAGGCTCCCAGTGAAGCCCAGTGAAGCCCAGTGAAGCGAGCTGCGGCCCCCATGGTCCCAGTGAGTTGCGAGTTGTGAGTGACCAAGCCCAAAGGCAAGAATATATATATATGTATAGATCATTATATATCATTATATATCATTATATATCATTATATATCATTATATATTATTATATATCATTAATATATCCATGTATATTATATAGACAATATAATTTATATAATATATATATATTAAAATATTATAGAGTTTCATTGTTCTGATGGGGTGCAGTCCATGCAATGAAACATTGCCGTTGCAACAAAAACTTACGTCCCAGGCATCTCGGCAGAATCGACCATGGTGGCCGGCGCACAAGACGCGGCCAGCTGCACCGAAGTGTGCGAATCGCGGTCGTCCCGGGTTGTTCCGGTTGTCCGACGCCGCCAGCGATCAATGAATTGTTTGAAGTTGGGGGTTGGAGAAAAGATTGAGCCAAAGAGAGGGTTTCCCATCGACTCTGGGAATATGTTGGAATTCACCGAATTCCCTTCCATAAAGTAGCCTATAATAGCCTGTGATACAAACATCTACAGCATATCATATGTTGATGAATTTCATATATTCGAGCGTTTGTTTGACTCGAGTCCAAGAATGGCGCCATTGCATTCCGCACTGAAGACTTGCGCCGAAAAAATCTGATTGACACCGCCTTCAATGACCCCGATTTGGCTACAGAAAGACTCCCCGCCGTCAGCGGCAAAGGTTTTTGCAGGCAAATGCTTGCATCGGATTTAAAACCGAAAAACAAGCCACACGCTGCTCCGGCTTCCATAATTTTGTAAGTTCGGGTCATTCTGAGGCACGATTGCAGGAACAGGTGTGCCTCCATAAGGACTTTGAAATCAAATGCTCTGAAAAGTTTACCTCTTGCACAGACGATATTTTTCGCGTCCAGAGCTCTGGAATCAGAGCCCCCTATAATCCCCTATATACTTCTACCATCGTAAGGATCGGGACAGAGCAAGAGACGACATAGAGACAGAAAGAGAGAGAGAGCCAGTCAGGATGAGAAGTCCGTTTGTTTTGCCGTTTGTTTTCTTCAGGGGGCGTGTTGACAGGCTTGTACACGAGGGCTGTTGGGTTCGTTTTGTTGGTATTCAAACCTGGTTCGCAGCTGAGATTTGGTTCATTCCAGATATATAGACATTGCGCAGATGTCGGTGGAATGGACAAATTTCTCGTCCTTACAGAAGAGTCTAAATGTCAGGAAGGGTGGAATTTCGTATAGCAGGTCGATAATGTTGGACGCCGATTAGTGTCCTGGTACCCTATTGTGAGTTTTTTCCTCAAAATCAATCAGTATCCTGCCAGTTGTGGGGGTTGGGCCTCTATTGTGAGTTGTTTTTTTCATAAGCATTTTTTAAGAGGAGCTTTATCCACCTTTATACACCTTTCTTTGGGTAAAGCTGAGCTGGTCCATTTACTTTAGAAAGCCATATCCATGTGAAAGCCTTGAAAATGTAAGATTCCCTCATTAGATGCCTTATTACTGTAAACCCTTATTTAGAAACAGCAGCCAAACAATTTTTCAAGGGGGTATCTCATGAATGGCCCAGATCCTCAATAATATAGTTGTTCGGATGGCGCCCTATTGTGCACACAAACTGTTGGGGTAAAAAAAACACAAAGCCCTTTATCCACCTTTTTTGGGGTAAAGCTGGTCCATTTACTTTAGAAAAACATATGCATTGAAATCCTTTCTTATCAATAGATTTCTTGGAGGTTTAAAAGGAAAATCCATTGAACGTAGATTGATTTCAATTCAAATCCTTACTTAAGTGATCATCTTGAGTTTCCCAGACCTGGTCCCCCAGAAAATGCCGAGTTATTGAGTAGACTAAAATTGTTTGAGGGGGGGGCGCCCTACACTAATCAGCGTCCAACATTATGCCTATCAATGAAGCTTCAGCCGGAAGAGTCGATTGTTAAGACTGTTAAGACGTGAACAAGATGCAGCCCACGAACCCGAATGCAGTCACATAGAACACTGTTGTGAAACAAGTTATTTGAACAGTCTTGTACATTTTCCCCCTGTTACTGTACAAGTGCATTGTAGACTGTGGAATGTGGAATGGGGTGGAGTGCAAAGCGTGGAGTGTGAAGAAAGTGGAGTGTTGAGTGGGGAATGTAGTGTGTAGAGTAGAGTGTGGAGTGTGGAGTCTCAAGTGTAAAGTGTAGAGTGTGGAGTGTAAAGTGTAAAGAGTAGAGTGAAAAGTGCAAAGTGTGGAGTGTAAAGTGTAAAGTGTGGAGTGTAAAGTGTAAAGTGTAGAGTGTGCAGTGTAAAGTGCAAAGTGTGGAATATGGAGTGTAGAGTGTAGAGTGTACAGTCTGGACTGTCAAGTGTACAGTGTGGAGTGTAAAGTGTAAAGTGTCAAGTGTAGAATGTCGAGTGTAAAGTGTGGAGTGTAGAGTGTACAGTGTATAGGGTGGAGTATAAAGTGTCGAGTGTAGAGTGTACAGTAGAGTGTGGAGTGTAAAGTGTAAAGTGTAGAGTGAAAAGACTAAAGTGTGGAGTGTAGAGCGTGCAGTGTGCAGTGTAAAGTGTGTAGTGTAAAGTGCAAAGTGCAGAGTGTGAAGTGTAAAGTGTAAAATGTGGGATGTGGAGTGTAAAGCTTCAAGTGTAGAGTGTAAAGATGGTAAAGTGTTGAGTGTGGAGTTTCATATGTAAAGTGTCAAGTGTGGACTGTGGGGTGCAGAGTGCGGAATGTTAAGTGTAGAGTGTGGAGTGTAGAGTGTAGAAAAGTGTAAAGTGTGGAGTTTATAGTGGAAAATGGGGAGTGTAAAGTGTAAAGTGTGGCGTTCAAAGTGTAAAGTGCGGAATGTAAAGTGTAAAGTGTGGACAGTAAAATGTAGAGTGTGGAGTGTATGTGAAGTGTAAAGGTTATGTGTGGAGTGTAAACTGTGGAGTGTGGAGTGTAAGTGTGGAGTGTAAAGTGTAAAGTGTGGAGTGTGGAGTGTAAAGTGTCAAGTGTAGAATGTCGAGTGTAAAGTGCGGAGTGTAGAGTGTACAGTGTAGAGTATGGAGTGCTGAGTGTAGAGTGCAGAGTGTAAACTGTAGAGTGTAGAGTGTAAAGTATAAAGTTTACAGTGTAAAGTGTAAAGTGCAGAGTGTAAAGTGTAGAGTGTGGAGTGTAAAGTGTAAACTGTAAAGTGGAAAGTGTGGAGTGCAGAGCGTAAAGTTTGAAGTGTAGGGTGTAGAGTGTAGAGTGCAGTAAAAAGTGTGGAGTGCAAAGTCTGGAGTGCAAAGTGTAAAGTGTAAAAAGTGGAGAGTCAAGTTCAAAGTGTGGAGTGTGGAGTGTAAAGCGTAGAGTGTGGAGTATAAAGTGTAGAGTTTAAAGTGTGGAGTGCAAAGTGTGAAGTGTAAAGTGTAGAGTGTGGAGTGTAAAGTGTAGAGTTTAAAGTGTGGAGTGCAAAGTGTGAAGTGTGAAGTGTAGAGTATGGAGTGCAAAGTGTAGAGTATGGAGTGTAGAGTGTAAAGTGTAGAGTGTGGAGTCTCAAGTGTAAAGTGTAGAGTGTGGAGTGTAAAGTGTAAAGTGTAGAGTGAAAAGTGTAAAGTGTTGAGTGTAAAGTGTTGAGTGTAAAGTGTAAAGTGTAGAGTGTGCAGTGTAAAGTGTCAAGTGTGGAGTGTAAAGTGTAAAGTGTGGAGTGTAAAGTGTAAAGTGTAGAGCGTGCAGTGTAAAGTGTGGAGTGTAAAGTGTAAAGTGTAGAGTGTAAAGTGTGGAGCGTAAAGTGTACAGTGTAGAGTGTCCGAAATATTGCGCCTGCCACGCAAAATGACATTCCACACTCAACAGATCTGCACCGAATAGTGCCCCTGCCATGTAAAATGACACTCTCGCGCCGTCCCACGCTTGCCACGCGATTTTCACGTTGTCACCACTTGACGCAGCCCTGACAATGCGATACCGTCTGAAGTGCTGCGCCTGCCACGCGAAATGACGATGGAGGTCTCCAAAGTGCTGCGCCTGCCACGGGAAAATGGAATTCATCTTCTGGAAACGACGCAAAAGTATTGCGCCTGCCACAAAAACGACTTTCGACGCCTTGTGAACCATATCGGAATGTCACAAAGTGCCACGCCTGCAGCGCGAAACGAAGCCACGCGACCTTTGGAACTTCCAAAGTGACCGCTTTTGCAGAACTCACCATAGGCACGGCCATGGGGCCCTCGCGAGAACGGTTGAGGGCTGCGCAACGTTTAGCGAACGCACCCTCAACCCCCAGACCCCCAGAGTGAAACGGGAACCTTTGCTACGCATTCGGTAAAAAAATGTTTCAGCTGCCTTAAGATCAGCACTTAAGATGACCAGTCACTTTTACGTGCCGCAGTTTTGCAGGCCGAGATTCTGGCAGCCAGTGGCCAGCATGAGGCAGGGAAATGCGCCATGGTGCCATGGATTTTTTAAGGTGGTTTCAAATTTTGGGATTGCAGTCAGGTGTTGCGAACATGTTTTTGCAATGTACAACAATGTACAACCTGGATCAACCTGGATGTTCCCCAAGACATCCCAAAACAGTTTGGTCACACTAGGGGTCCTGATGCAAGGCTTGGTTGATCGGCTGTTTGTGACTACGTTTTTGTTGTTTTTTTCGATGACAGAAAAAAATTCGTCGAGCCTTGATTCTCTGTTTGTGAAAGAAACCTCGCACAGAAAGGGTTGCCGGAGACCTCTCTAGCGGAGCTGCGTTCTCGTGTGCGTGCCTTGTCCGTTGAGCAAGGTACAAAGTTTTTGGAGATGCAGAACCTCGTTGTTTCAAAATGTTGGGTGCAAAACGGTCGTTTTGTGAGACTTCCTGTCGACATTTTTAAATGCCACACCTTTTTTTTTGTGGCGCAGTCCTTCAGGTGCCTCAGGTTGTTTTTTTTTGGCAGGCGCAACGTTTTGCCCAAAATTTCGGTAAAATTTGGACAAGTAGTTTTGCGCACTTCGTTTTGTTTCATGTTCGAGGTGCGCTATATATTTGGTGAAACCCGTTTGAAAATCTAAGAATCGGTGGTGCAACCATGTTGTCACTTTGAGAGTGTTGGGTTGATAGTTCTGGCGCGGTGCTCATTGTGTGGTATCGCTATGTATCGCTCACACAACCTTCTCCGCACGCGCATCGGATCGCCCCTGTTCATCTAGCAGGGTGCTCATTTTAGTTTGTCTTCAGAATTCTTTAGTTAGGGACCCAATGGGATCTATAGACATTTTGTCCCTCTCAAGAAGGTCCTTGTATGACAATTTGGTGAGATTCTCTTGGAGGTCCTTGCATAAAGATGTAGAGGTTCTTGTACAGATCTTGGCCCAGATTTTGTATAGAGGTTCTTGTGAGCAGATCTTCTGAAGATCCTGGTGAAATCCACTCTCTAAACTCTAAGGGGTCCTTCTTTGAAGATCTTGCGGGATACTGTTTGCACGTTCTGGTATAGAGCTCGTGTACGATCTTCTAGATGGCCCTTCTGTGACGATTTTGTTGGAATTTCTCAGGAAGGCCTCTGCGTGAAGATCTTGTAGAGGCTGTAGAGGTTCATGTCAGGAGTATTGTCACAGATGTTCTCCTCCACGCCGTTGGGATCCATTTGTCTGGATGGTTTTGGCGATGTTGATAATCCAATAGTTGTTTTCTGTTGCTTTCATCTACAGCCTGAGTCCATACTTGGTACAAGTCTTACAAAGTGTTAACCTTTGTTGTTTTTTAAGATCGAGACGCCAGGTACGCCTCCTCGCATCATCATAGCTGTTTTCGGGTGGAAGATGCCAGTTGAGTTTGGAAAATGGCATAGTGACATAGTGAAGCAAAAGGGCCCAACCCGGAACATAAATGACCCTGGTAGTCCTGGTCCCATCAGCACCTGATACTTGCATGGTTTCAATGCCTTTGCAGGATTGAAGTGTGTGTGCGTGTGTGAAGCCCGCTATGTCATACGGATATTTCACAGTAATATTCAACTAGAGCAGGGGATTCTACAACCTTAGTTGCAGGAACTGTAATCCCATGTGCGCCATCCCTCTTTTCATTGGTGGATGGCCAACGAAGAGGCCAATGATGAGAGCTGTAAACGTACCTGCAGGCAGTTCCTGACATACTCTGACCTGAAGGCACTTAGGAATAAAGCGACCAGAAGTTCTACTTTCCTCATCAACCAAAAACCTAAGCAGCGCGTGCTTTTCCTTGCACAGAACACATTTGGCAAGGCACTGATAGGCACTGTAAGTGAAGTACGATCAGGTTGTTTAAATTGTTACCTGAAACTATTTATGCACCCTAGCTGACAAGTTTAAATTTTGGAGTTTCTCAACTTGTACTTGCAGCAGTCTTACCAAGATACAAATACATACAAATCCGCGCGCACCGAAGGTGCCGAGGCGTTTTTTGTGTGCCTGCGTGAACCGTTAGCAATTGCATTATAGCTAATAAGCTTTAGCTTGGGGTGGGGGGATTTTTGCTTCAGAATCCTGTGTTTTTGTATGTTTTTCAAAAGGGGTCAAAATTCTTGATCTGGGACAATATAGGCCAAAAATGGGTCAAGATAGGCCCAACATAGGCCCAACATGAGCCTAAGATAGGCTCACATGGGGCCAACATAGCCTCAAATGGGGCCAACATACCCTCATATGGGGCCAAGATAGCCTCATATGGAGCTAACTCCTTAGACTTCCCGAATCCATTACACTTGGTGCGGGCGGTTTTCGTCGCAAAGCGACCGTGAATATCAACTCCTACATTCAAGACTAGTTTCTGACCTTTCCTGATTGCAATTCTTTGGTGTTTGCTGCGTGACAGTGCAGGTTTTCTTTTTGCATCGCTCGGGGCCAAGGCTGGTCCGATCAGTGCCGGGCAGCCTTCCCTTACAATGTGGGCCCCCAGCAGTTATAAGTTGGTTTATCAACCCCATTAACATCCATTAACCATAGTTATAGTTATATATCATAAACCATAGTTATTGGAATTATAAAAATTATAAACCAACTTAGCTATCTTCAGGGCCCCACATTGTAGTATCATTTTTATATGTAGTTTTTTCCAACCTCGACTACAACCCTGTTGATTGATGGTTTCCAGCTAAACAAGGACAACTTCGAAACTAAGGGCTAATATGATCCATTGGAATTGAACACATCCGGGGGGAAATGTTGGGTATTGCAGCTAGAATTAGGCGTTCAATTTTTGGCAGTTCCAAGTTCTAAGTACACCAGGATTGGATTTCTATAATATGTTTAATGTCATGTCATGTATGTTTGATGTAATTTGTTTGTAATATGTGTAAGAGGCTCCCCAATCGCAGCTGTGGCCGCAGATCCGAGACAGTTCAGTGGATGTCGCTTTGAAGCAGGGGTGGAATGAATCATGGAAGCTCTATGAAGCGCTTGTGTGAGGGTAAATGGTTAAATCATGTTAAATATATACCATTATATACCCATAAGTGCCCATAAGGTCAATATTCAGTTTGTGAAAAACAAAATGCTGCTTTCTGATAGGTGGCAAATGCCTGCGCAAGAACTTTTTTGGTCTTTGACTTTGATCAACGACCAAGTATGTCCAAGTAGGTCCAAGTCAGCATCGTCGAAAGAAAGGAAGTTCCATGGTAGGGACTGGACATTTGAAGCGGAAGCTCCAGCTTCTTCGATTCAGAATTGTCTCTTGTCAGGCTGGTTTCGAAACAAATCATTTTGCCGCAGGCGAATGCAGGCTACATATTCTGAGATACCACAGTTTTGATAGTTTTTGCACACTTCTGACAAAGAATTCACCCCTTGGGTGTGTATTGCGGTCGTTTCTGAAACAATGTGCGCCGCATAGCTCTAAAGGAATCATGAATGACATGACGTTCGGCACGTTCCTCATCCGTGGAAGATATGGAAGCCATCCAGAGAGCAGATGAAATGCAGATGAAATAACCTGAATGACTTAAATGATGAGGCCCTAGGCTGAAAAACAGTACGTAAAGAGAGGATTCACTGCAGAGGGTTTCATGAACGGCACCCAATTCCGAGGTTGGGTATCTCCAATCGCGTCGTTGCTCCAATGAGATCTGGTGCCGAGTGATGTGGTGTGAAAGGCAGAAAAAATTGAGTACCACGGAGATCTAGAGATTGGTAATTGCACATCATGAATGTCCCATTCAAACTGATTCGTGAAGATATAGCTGTTGGCTCTTTGATCCTACGGTATCCTTAGTCCAATTAGTAGACGTTGGTGGTCTCTGAAATTGGGAGCCAACAGGAAGCTCCTTCATCCCTCGATTCTAGCAACAAAGCTGCTCAGATATGCTCAGATGGCATTCTGTTGTGCCATTTTTGAAGCTCATTAAAGCTCTATACTTGGTGGCTCATCCCACTTAGTAAGTGGGTTATAACCCCAATTATAAGTGGATTAACCCTACAAAAATCCCACTTATTGGGGTTATAAACCACTTACTAAGTGGGATGAGCCACCAAGTAATCAGTATTACATAGGATCAACTGAGTGCGGGACATTGATCTCTGTTTATGCCAGTACATGTATGTTTGGATCACCATCTGGGACCCTGGCAGATGTGTTCCTGCTGTCTGTTCGGTCGGGAGGCCTGTGCGATCTGGGGTCTGGCATTTGGGTCGCTACTCCTCTTTCATAATTATCCAATAAAGATGACATGTTGGGACAAAATGGGACAAACTGTATCTGGTTGGTGATTTGGAACATGTTTTTATTTTTCCATATATATATTGGGAACAATAATCCCATTTGACTTTCATATTTTTCAGAGGGGTAGGTCAACCACCAACCAGGTATGAAAATGTCGAACCAGCATGAGGCTCATCTGATGAGACATATTAGACCAGATATGACTAGATGATCAATCTAGCCTTCAGCGGGTCGAGATATCGCGCACATGGTGGCTCCAGGACCGGCAGGGACCCCACAGTCAATGGGACAACCGGACCACCCTTGCTGAACTCTCGACGCTAGAAACTGGGGGCGCAGAGGTTTCCCCTCTGTGGCAATAGTTTATTGATTTTATAACATGAACAACAAACATGTACATTTTGGACATTGACCAGTAAGTTTGCCGGCAAAGATGGGGTTCTTGATTTGTTCAATGCCACTGTTCTATATTTTTTGTGTTCATATTGGATGTTGGCATTGAAACCTGGCATGGAATGCACCTTCACAAATCCTGTGCCGAGGCTATACCCTGTGGTCAGCGATGTCAATGTTGTCGCTGACTTCACTAAGGGTGATGTTTTCAAGGCTCAGAAATCTGATGCTCATGGCTGGCTCACCCAAAAACTGGTTTTATCATTGATGGTTTTAGATATGTTTAGATTTTTATATGGGGTTTTCCTCAAATGAGGGTACCCCAATAGCTGGATGGTTTATAATGGAAAATCCTATTAAAATGGATGATTTAGAGGTACCCCCATTTCAGAAACCTCCGTATAATAGTTCCATATAGCATCACCAAAATTTGACAGCAGGAACTCCCGGAGGAGTCGCTGGGTTTGATTTTGAGTCAGTGATTTCTCAGACGCCAGCGTAATCCTTTGAGGCAACCACAAAGATTAATGAATGGATCATGCCAGTCATTGAATCAGTGATAGAATATGATAGAATAGAATACGATAGAATGAGCTGACAGGATGATGCAGGGGTGAAGGAGCAACTGGTTAAAACGTTTGGGATCTGCATGTCATGTGATCCGCTGTAGAGCTGAATGCTGAAGAAAGCTGAGCTGACACAGGCATTTTATGGCAAAACGGGTCATGTTGATTGAGAGGGAACAGTGTGTTCCTATAGTACCCAACCCTTTAGCGCTGGCCGGGCAAGGGTCTGAACTAGTGGGTTTAAAGCACTCTAGACCTTTTTGACTTATGCGCTTTAGACCCTTTGGGACCTTGCCCCATAAAAGCTAATCATGAATCATAGATATTACACTACTTCTTGTCCATCAAACATATGGGTTTCGATTGCACAATGATTTGATAGGCGATGACTTGTAGATCACAAAGAAAAGTCCAGCAGAACCAGGATTTCGCACTTCCTTGTTTCCAGCGTGTCTCTTACCCACCGCTATTATGTTTTAATGTACATTTTAGAAGACCTATCTCTTGAGGGTTCACATAACGGGGACCCAGATAACGCATTGATTATGTCTAGGCTAGACATATCTTTAACATAGACCTTCTAGACATTTTTCAACTTGAGGCTGCTGGAAAAAGCGAACCCTTCCAGAACCCCGCTCGTTTTGGTTTGGAGCCTGCTTGTCCGCAGCATGCCCTCTTACAAACATGTCTCACGAAAAATGACCCGACATTTCACAGATGAGGATGGGGCATGATGATGAGTTGTCAGGGCTCTTGATTCTGTTGGCATTTTAGCAAGTACGCACGCAGCCAAGTTTCAGGAACGAGCCAAAACCAGCAAATCATAGCAAATCCATCACCCATTCAACATCAATCAACCACAAACCTATCCACACCCTCACTCCTCAACCAATAAAATCTTGTGGTTGCTTTGCATAGTTTTGCATTTGCACCACATTGTTCCGATACAACCAAAAATGCACTGGTCGCCAAACAAACAACACATGCAGGTACCAGCATAGAGGAACACTGATAACTAATAGCCAGAGACCAAGTGTTTGACATGTTTTGGTGCGACCAAGCTACAAGAAATGAAGCCAACCAACATGTCCACCCAACAAACATGAACTAACTTGGTGATCAATGGGCATGGGGTCCAAGGTGCTTTCCCCTTTATTTTGCAGAGATCCTGATCCTTTGAAAGGTCCTTCCACCGAACTTCCTGAAGATACCCTGTTAGAGGTGCTTGTATGAAAGTTGCTGGGTGTTCTTAGGATGTTCTTGTTTTGAGATCTTGTAAGATCTGTGACGATTCTGTTAGGTTCTTTGAGGTTCTTTTAGATGAAGACTTTGGGTCGGCATGTCATGAACTCTTAGCAGATGTTTCGAGGAACGTTGGATGAGCTAATGGCGAGTAACGCCAGGCCGTCAGTTGGTAACTAGGATTCTCCGAGGCGTTTTTCAAAAAGTGGCTGGATGTTTACAACATTTTACAACACTAATTATAGGCTTTTGCGTAGGCAACGCCTGTGCTTTGCGCAGACCCTGCATGGCTTTGCGTACTTGGCGAGGCGTAGGCTTTGTGTAGGAGAGGCGAATCATGAGAAACAACGGTCAACAAAATGTGTAATACGAGTTAAAAGGAGACGCGAAAGAACACCGACATCTGGAAAATGTATGAACATGTATGAAAATGTACTGAGGAAAACAGTCAAATCAAGCTTAATCAAATATGAACACTGCGCCCAAAATTGAGCCCAGAAGTCAGAGAAGTTAAATCCAGACCGAGTTTTGAACTCAAGTTCTTTTTCCCCAAACAGCGTGTCCACACTGAGGGGTTCTTACAGTAGTGGTAAAGGCCGGTGTCTATCGAGGTGCTCACTCTAGGCCACGGCATTTTCCTTATAAATTTCCGCATAGTAGCTCATGTGAAATCTCCAAGTGCATTTCGACTGTGCAGGCTTGCACAAAGTTTGCGGCGCGAGTTTTGCTTGCTCTTGGTCTGCGGCCTTTTACCTTTTAAATTTCAGTGTAAAGTGGCTTTTGTGCAATGTCCACGTGCATTTCGACTGCGCAGGCTCGCACAAAGTCTGCGTCGGGGTTCTGGGCTCGGGCATTTTGTCTGTAAATTTCTGCACAAAGTGGCTTTTGTGAAATGTCCAAGTGCATTTCGACTGCGCAGGCTCACACAAAGTCTGCGTCACGATTCTGGGCTCGGGCTTTTTTTGCTGTAAATTTCCGCACACCTGTAAATTTCAGCACAAAGTGGCTCTTTTCAAATGTCCAAGTGCACTTCGACTGCGCAAGCTCGCACAAAGTCTGCATCGCGCTTCTGGGCCCGGGCATGTTTCCTGTACATTTCCGTATCACGTGGCTCAAGTGCATTTCGATTGCGCAGGCTCGCACAAAGTGTGGGTCCCGGTCCTGGGGTCTTTCCTCCTCAACATCATACTCCTCAACATCATCATCGTATAGTCAAGTCCTCCTCAACATCAGCTTTCTCAGCATCATCATCTTCCTCCCCCTTGACCTCATCATCCTCAACATCATCAACCTCCACCTCATTTTCTGCAACATCATCCTCCACCTCATCTTCCGCAACATCATTATCCTTGTTATCATCCTCCTCAACATCATCATCCTCCACTTAATCATTTTCCACTTCATCTTCCGCATTATCATCCTCATCCTCATCATCCTCATCCTCATCGTCCGCAACATTCTCCTCCTCATCATCATCATCGTCATCATCATCATCACCATCATCATCAGCATCATCATCGTCATCATCCTCATCATCATCATCATCATCATCCTCAACCTCGTCATGTTCAACATCATCCTCAGCCTCGTTATCTTTAACATCATCCTCGTGCACCTCATCATCCTCAACATCATCATCCTCAACATCATCGTCCGCAACATTCTCCTCCTCATCATCATCACCACCATCATCATCATCATCCTCATCATCATCATCATCATCAATAACATTATCACACATTATCCTCCCACTCCCCTACACACTGTTTGGGTGTCTGGCCGGGATTTATTTTTCTTTGGGTTGCATTGTGTTTTCTGACAGATATCCTTAATATTATTCTTTACCTTTCAAGCATGCTTCTCTGTGAAGTTGCTGTCGGCAGGTTGTACTTTATTATTCCTACAGGCAATCTTGATCCCTTTGCACTAAACAACGACTATATCTTGGAAACTTCCGAGCGCTTAGCTCCCCCAGTGAAGTTTCTGAGTCTGGCGTGTTCCCAATCAAAGTGCTTGCGTCAGAACAGGAACCACTATCCTTTATCACAATCCCTTATCCCTAGTAATTACCAAACGTACCTTAAATATTAAAAGCTAAGGGTTGATTTTTAATGTTTGGAAATTTTAAGTTGGGCAATTTGATGTTTAATTGGTTTCCTTTTGAAAACAAGTCAAACCTGAAGGTCCCATTTGAGGGTTGCACCCCCAATAATCAAAACTTGTCAACACCGGGATGTTTTTGTATTAAGTTATGTCCTTTAAAATTCATGAAATTTCCATATAAATCCATGTTTTCATTGTTGTTGTTTTGAAAGTGTTTATTTTAATATCAGGGGAACCTTCGAAATCCTTTTTTTGGCACAATCTAAATTAGTTTTTAAAAAGTGGTTTAATCGATGTTGGAAAAAAAACGTGTTTATTAAGGTGTTTTAATTCGTATTAGGGGGAAACTTCGCACCCTAATACTGAATACCCCCGGATACTGAAAATTCCTGCTGTTTTTTTTAAAGGAAGGCGGTTAGTATTGGGGAACAAGGATTATTTTTCAAGAGGGTGGGTGGTCTTTAAGGTTTTGTTTGATATTTGTATTCCCTCAGTGCAGGGTTGTTATGATGGAGAACATTTCCAACTTTTGGTAGGGGCAACTATAGTTTGGTGCAGGGGATATGTTCCAACATGTTCCAACCAAAGACTGTTAGCGTTTTTCTCCTGAGTTCGCGGATTGATGAGTTTTGCAACAAAAAACTACCTCGGCTAGATGAGAATCCCACTTCAATCTTTGACGTCAACGGTCTGCTTGGTCTGCTTGGTCTGCTTGGTCTGCTTGGTCTGCTTGGTCAGGTGGTGCCGGTGGAAGTTTTGCCTGTGGTGCTGAACCGTCAAATCAAGGTCACCGCTGACGGGCACTTCTCTTGTGTATATCATTATTCTCATGTAGGCCCCAATATAGCAACTGGCAACTTTTATGGAAAGTGGTGATTAACCGAGCTCATGGACTGGGGACCCGAACACCCCTTTCATGAATGGCCTCAGTTAGCCTCAGAATATATCCGATACAACATATTAAGAATATGGAGGTGTCCTAAGTCATGTGGCTCCCCCCAGTTCTCGTGCATCGATTCATAGGATTTTCCATGACATAAACCATCCAGCTATTGGGGTATCCCCATCTCAGGAAACCCCCAAATGTATCCAAATGTCAGACAGGATTGCCGAATAGAGCGGATATAGAATGCACCTTATATACGCGAGAAAATGTATATATATATATACATAATAAATACATTTACATATACGTTCAGACATACATATATGCATACACATGTTTTCCATTTTTTTATATATCTGATAATGTTATTATCTTTATTTTTAGTCTTAGTTGCGTCACACATTATTCATTTTTTTATCGTTATTATGTTTATTGTTTGTTCGTATATATATATATACATAGATATCCGACTATGTCTCACATAGAACGTCAGATAAAATGCCAGATGGAACGTCAATGTATGAGTCAGGAGATCTTTAAGGTAGAAAATCAAAACATGCTAGGTAGAATGTAAGTATATATGTCAGGCACGGCATAATGATGAATAAACATATCAGATCGAATCCCTTTGGCTCACTTGCCACACTTGCCATACTTGTTGTCCAAAACACACCAGTAGAGCCAACATTTGTGCCTATACATACAACATACATATTTATATATAGTTTTTGAATACATAGTAACAAGTATTTAATATGTTATGCTTACGTATTCCCAGTCTGAATCCTGGGGCCCTGGGGACTGAATCGTAGCTCCGGTTGCTTGGCAAATTCATGTGCTGAGTCTCGAATGTGGAGAATTCTGAAGATCCCAAAATAATACATGTACCACCATATACCATCATATGGCATCATATACCATCATATAGCATCATTTACCCTCATATACCATCATATAGCATCATATAGCATCATATAGCATCATATACCATCATACAGCATCATATACCATCATATACCATCATATATACCATCATATACCATCATATACCATCAAATACCATCCATCAAATACCATCATATAGCATCATATAGCATCATATAGCATCATATAGCATCATTTACCCTCATATACCCTCATATACCATCATATACCATCATATACCATCATATACCATCATATACCATCATATAGCATCATATACCATCATATACCATCCATCATATACCATCATATAGCACCATAAAGCATCATATAGCATCATATACCATCAAACAACATCATATAGCATCATATACCATCATATACCATCATATACCATCATATAGCATCATATACCATCCATCAAATACCCTTATATACCATCATATAGCATCAAATAGCGTCATATACCATCATACAGCATCATATAGCATCATATACCATCATATGGCATCAAATAGCGTCATATACCATCATACAGCATCATATAGCATCATATACCATCATATAGCATCATATAGCATCATATAGCATCATTTACCATCATATACCATCATATAGCATCATATAGCATCATATAGCATCATATACCATCATGCAGCATCATATACCATCATATACCATCATATATACCATCATATACCATCATATACCATCAAATACCATCCATCAAATACCATCATATAGCATCATATAGCATCATGTAGCATCATATAGCATCATATAGCATCATATAGCATCATATAGCATCAGTTACCCTCATATACCATCATATACCATCATATACCATCATATAGCATCAAATAGCGTCATATACCATCATACAGCATCATTTAGCATCATATACCATCATATAGCATCATATAGCATCATATAGCATCACGTACCCTCATATACCATCAAATACCATCATATACCATCATGTAGCATCATATACCATCATATAGCATAATATAGCATAATATACCATCATATACCATCATATACCATCATTTTCCATCATATACCATCATATACCATCATATACCATCATATACCATCAAATACCATCAAATAGCATCCATCATATACCATCATATAGCATCATTTACCATCATACAGCATCATATAGCATCGTATAGCATCAAATAGCATCAAATACCATCATATAGCATCATATAGCATCATATACCATCATATACCATTATATACCATCATATACCATCATATAGCACCATAAAGCATCATATAGCATCATATACCATCAAACAACATCATATAGCATCATATACCATCATATACCATCATATACCATCATATAGCATCATATACCATCCATCAAATACCCTTATATACCATCATATACCATCATATAGCATCATATACCATCATATAGCATCATTTACCATCATATACCATCATATAGCATCATATAGCATCACGTACCCTCATATACCATCAAATACCATCATATACCATCATGTAGCATCATGTACCATCATATAGCATCATGTACCATCCATCAAATACCCTTAAATACCATCATATAGCATCAAATAGCGTCATATACCATCATACAGCATCATATAGCATCATATACCATCATAAAGCATCATATACCATCAAATAGCATCCATCATATACCATCATATAGCATCATATACCATCATACAGCATCATATAGCATCGTATAGCATCAAATAGCATCATATACCATCATTTCCCATCATATAGCATCATATAGCATCATATAGCATCATATAGCATCATATAGCATCATTTACCCTCATATACCATCATATTCCATCAAATACCATCCATCAAATACCATCATATAGCATCATATAGCATCATACAGCATCATATACCATCATATACCCTCCATCATATACCATCATATAGCATCATATAGCATCATATAGCATCATATAGCATCATATATCATCATATAGCATCATATACCATCATATAGCATCATATACCATCATATACCCTCCATCATATACCATCATATAGCATCATATACCATCATATACCCTCCATCATATACCATCATATAGCATCATATAGCATCATATAGCATCAACAAGCATCATATACCATCATACAGCATCATATAGCATCATATAGCATCATATAGCACCATATAGCATCAACAAGCATCATATACCATCATACAGCATCATATAGCATCATATAGCATCATATAGCACCATATAGCATCAACAAGCATCATATACCATCATACAGCATCATATAGCATCATATAGCATCATATAGCACCATATAGCATCAACAAGCATCATATACCATCATACAGCATCATATAGCATCATATAGCATCATATAGCACCATATAGCATCAACAAGCATCATATACCATCATACAGCATCATATAGCATCATATAGCATTATATACCTATGATGGTCTCTTTGTCGTGGCATGCTGGCCGTTGCAGGCAATCATGGCGCTTTGCAATCGTGATTCGTGCTATCCTTGGCAGAATTGCGGTGAGTGAATACGATCATCTCACAGGGACCCAAGACATTGGAAAAATATGGCGTAAATTTTCTGTGTGTCAACTTATATCGATTGTGGCATATGAAAAACTACACTTCAGGCTATATGAAAAACTGTTTTGGGGTTTTACTAGCTACCATCCTTTTTCGGTTTAGCCGTGCACCTTTTGATCGGAACACAGGCAAAACAAAGCCGGGATGTCCCGGGCAGGACTAACTTCTACGGGTGACCCGGCCAGGAGGGTGACACCGTTTGTGGAATCCTTGATCTTCGGCGATGCGTTGGAAGGCCGGAGAGATGCTGCTGAGGCCGGACAGATTCTGCCTGCCATGACAGATTCTTTTCCGGAGCTGGAGCAGCAGTTTCTGTAGCAATAGGTCAGTTCCAAAAATCATTCATAGTCATAGTATGAAGGTCTCTGCAGGTCAAAGAACTTTTAAAAAGATCCGGTGCACCTTTCAGGCCACCCCAGAATGCCGATTTACGAGGAACAGTTCACCGAAACAGTAAAAAAAATCTTTGGAGACAGATATTTTATAGATGTTCTTCGGGTACTGTAGTTTAGTGTGGTGTTGTTTTCTTTAGTTAACTGAAAAGACAACCCAAAAGCATGAGAATGTATGAAATCTGAGAGGTTATGCAAGGCTTTGTAGGATCAGTGCAGTGAATGAACAGATTTCTCCTTGTGCAAGTTCACTACACCGGAGTGGGCAAGAACTCTGCAATTACTTCCTATATTAACCTGAAACTTAAGGACCTGAAACAATTCGTTTTATTCTACACAGTTACATTTGTTTCTTGGTCCTAAGTTAATTCAGTACCCAGCTGCTGCTTAAAGACTCATCAGAATCAAACGGACTGTGCTTTGGATACAGCATTGTTCTGGCCCCATTCTCCTACACAGAAACAAGATCTTGAGGTGCTGGGAACGGAGGGTATGGGGAGGGAGTAGAAACAGCAAGGAACGGGCGTGATTGAAAATTGCGCAAAAATATAGCCAGCTGAATAAGTAACGCGATGAGAGACCGCTATGTTGCTTTTTTGCGGTACTCGTACCCTATGTTCCAAGAACGAAGAAACCAAAGTGTGCGTGTTTTTTTGTGTGATAAATTCTGGAAAGGTTGAAAAGTGACTTACACCAATTCTCAAAGGCCATGTAGCGACCTGCTTTGGCGCGTTGTTTCACAAGATCCTGGTCGTCATCCCATGAGTTTACTATGTTTCCTTAATTTCCCCCTTGTCTTCCACATCTGATTTGGAATTCGTGTGCCAAATCAGCCACTTTTTCGATCTCAGAATCTCAGATACTTGTTCCACTTGTTGCGTGTTACATATCAGCTGTTTTTTCCTGTTTTTTCTATGACATTCGATGCCAGGTTTCTCTAAGCGTTCCCCTTATTCTCAACGAGCAGCAGCGAGCGGCTGTAGCACATGCCGCGAGTCAGCAGCTCACTTTGGTACCTGAGATGCACATGGAACCACCTGGATCAATCTGAAAAATCCATGGAGAAACAGGGCAGTACGTACCCGGCCTGGTTATGTCAACAGTTAGCGAAATTGAAAATGGCCCATTTATAGTGGATTTACCCATTGTTTCAATGGTGATTTTCCATAGTTATGTTAGTTTACCAGAGGGTAAACCCCAAAGTTGAAGATAGGGAGTTTTGTATTTCCTTACAGAGGTGGCGGAGCACCAGAGTGGTTCATTGTCGAATTGGAAAATATATGAACATGGCAACCTAAGCTTCATGATGTTTGCACTCATTAAGATTGGTTTGTTTGTGGATCGGTTCATGCACTTACTGATGTGTTATTTCGATGTGAGTTTGTTTGCTCCTTAATTCGTTCATACAGAAGTTCAATTCATTCATTTCTTAATCTGTGACTTTCTTCCTTACCTCCGTCCTGATCGTTTTTTCTTTCTTTTGTCGGTGTCGCTTTATTTGTTCTCCAGTAAATTATCTCTTGACATTTCCTGTATTGGCGCATATTCATGTTGTTTGTTCATTCATTTCATCAGTCTGCTCATTTGTTCATCATGAAGTCATTTACTTTGTGCATTTCGCATCAGAATCCTTCATTCGTTTTCTCCATCGTTCATTTGCTGCTTCCTTCGTTTGTTCTGTCTTAGTTGCTTTTGTTTGATCAGTCATTCATTGGTTTGTGCATTCATGGTCTTCAAATCTCTTCATTTGTCGAATCCTTAGGTATTCCTTCAAGCATGCATGGTGGCTGCAAGCGACGTACATGTAAATGTAGCGGCCATTAATGCCATTTGCATTCTAAGCAGTCCTAAAACTCCCTTACCGAGTACTGGAAATATGTAAGGTTGGTCCCAAAGCGCATGGTTTTGGTGTCCCATGGCACATTGGAAAAATTGCTGACACCTTGGGACTGGAAATATCTCGTGCCCGAGAATCGACAACTGGTCTTGGCATTTCCATTGGTTACTCGAATCAAAATTCGGAAGAATGGTTGGGATTTTTGATCCATCAATATTTTTTCTCCAGCTTAACCCATGATGCCCGTGATGGTAGTGGAGTTTTCGCCTTCACCAGCCGGAATTTCGGCTCAGGGTTTGTGGACTGAGCACCTAACAAACCTGCGACTCTGATTTTCAAGGTAGTGCACCAAGTAGTTTGGTTATCGCCAGTTGCCAGGTAGGACAGGGATGGATTTTGGGATGGATTTCGGATGGATTTCGGGGCATGATGGGCTGCAATGTTGAGCGGCTCAGGGGCCTTGTTGAGTTGAAATTGGGTGGAAGGCACGCGCCCTGAAATGATTTGGACCCATGAAAATCTTCCAGTTTCCAAGAGTTGATTTCCATTTGTTTAATGATATTTTTGCTTGGCCAAGAACCAACATCTAGATCCGATGGTCCATAATTTCTTTAAAAGAAACATACCATTTCAGGGCTGTACCGCTATACCATGGTATACCCCATTCCTGGACTAGCTCATTCCAGCCTCCACCAGGTTAATGATGATGATGTCTCGGGTGCGCTTTCGTGGGACTTTCATTGCTATCATGGTGGCCTGGTTTCTGACAGAGGGCAGACTTTTGGGAGCTTCCTTTATAAGTGGTACCCAAGTCTAGTCTAGCTTCACAATCAGAGTTGGATGAGTTGGTCGTTGAAAAATAGTCATGATGTTGGGCACATAAAGCACAGTTATGGTGTGCTATGCATCGCCCAAAGAACAAAAAAGCAAATCAGAATCCCACTTTGTAAATTTGGCATGTCATTCTTGGCATCACTATTGGAGAATAATTCTGAGCGAACACTTGCTAGGGAGTCAACAGATGGAGGGCAATTTGATGCAACTTGCATGAAAGTTGCATGAATTCAACATATTTGAATGTGGACTTTACAAGATGATCTATGACTGAATATCCGATTCGATCCGGAGTATGATGTGGTATGAGATGACGGAAACTCCTGGAATTGTATCTTGAATGTCTGGAAAGATTCAGGCAGGGTTTGTGTATTTTTTTCATCTCAAAGTGACCCTAGAATACCCTAGAGATGCTACTGGGGCCCAGCAGATAGTGGGCCACTAAAAATTGAAGGGAACATATGCTGCCAACGGGCTCTTGATATGTTATGATGGGGTTGGTGAAGATGACCAAAGTTGGTCATATCCCAAAAATGCTGCTTAGCCTAGCTGCTATAGCTACCTTACGGTAATCAAACATGTCAATCGGAATTCCCCTATGTATCCCTATGATTCCCTATGTATATATCTAATTACAGAAAGGCTTGTTGCCAGCGCTGAAATCACCAATTATTTATTTATATAATATATATATATTGTTTTTGTCAATATATTACATGATCTGAAGTAATATTGTTTTTTTGTTGTCCATGCACAAGCCTTTTCAATTAATTTGAAATACAGACAGGCTTGTTGTGGGCGCGCAAAAGGCATTCTTTCCCAAATACATTACATGCTCCAAAACAATATTGGCCTTTTGCTCTCCATACACAAGCCTTTTTTAGTGCAAATAGAGCTTAGAGTGGTAAACAAAAACAAACACACCAAAAAAAAAGTTTGGGGGACTACTTAGATTTAGGCATGTTCAGACTAGTCTGGAAAACTGTGTTTTCTTGGTGTTGTTTGGTTTCTTTGTTTGTTTTTGTTTCCTTGTTTTTTTTGGTGTCTTTGGGTTTTTGATTCCTTAGGATTAATCCAGATTAATCCAAACCAAATCTGATTCATCTTGCCCCAAGGCATTCTTGTCAAGTCATTATTTGAAAAAATATTTTGTATGCTAAACATGCGCAGTATTCCTTGGGGATGTGCAATTTTCCTTTTCAGGTGTGAAGGTGTGAAGCCTTTGGGGATGTAAAATTATGTTTTTTGGTGAAGGAAACCGTTCCTCAAATAAACGGTGTTCCTGTCCCAGTAGAGCGCAGCTGAAGTTCTTTGAAAGGAGTGTTACATATTTACAAAGAAATGGTGTGATTGAAAGGATTGCTATAGGATTGTTACATATTGTCAAACCATGGTTTAACTTTCAAAAGAGGCAGCTGATTCAATTTTATTTTTGGTGAGTAAAACCTTTCCTTCAAACAAATGGTGTTCCTTCCAAACAGATGGCAGCTGGGTTTCTTTGAAAGGAGCGTTACATTTTGTTTAAAGAAATGGTGCTACTTTCAAACATCAAGGCCAGCTGAGCACTGCATATTTTGACACAATATTGTTTCTGTTGTTTAAACTAAACGGTTTAAACACGATTGCAACTTTAAGTTAAGTATTCAATCTTTTAAGCAAGCAACATTTGCCTGAAGGAATGTTACCATGATACAGGAAGAAGACAGGAATACTGCACTTTAGAACACAATACACATCGTCACATCGTAGATAACACATATTGTTTTTAAACAGAATCCAACCTTCACAAAAAAAAACCTGAAAAAAAAAACATTTGACTGGCTCAAAAGCAACCACCAGCTTGTAAATGACAACAACTTTTTTGGTTGAAGTGGATGCTTTGTCAGCAAAACTGCACTACTTTGAAGAACCTCATTTCTTCAAAGCATTGTTTTCTGGGAATGTAGCACAGGCATACAACTTAATAGACTATACAGATATTTCTCTTTGGGCGAAGAAAGCAAGTGAAAAAATATACAGTGCCTGATATTGTGTGCAATTTTGCCTTTAGCTCAATGTGGAACATTTTCTTTGGTCAACTGCTGCGCTTCGCAGCTCAAACTCATTCAACATTATTATGTACTTCCATACCTGTTTGAAAACACCAGGGAATTTCCTTAAATTTCCAACTGAAATAGGCCTATTGTAGATGAATTAAGGTTGTGTTTCAAAGACGACTCATTTTTTCAATAGAATCTGGTATTGTACCACAATCATATGGAAACATGACAGTAGTGTATCCCTAGGTTTCAAAACAATATATTTCCAATGTTCATGATGTGTGCCACACAAAAAGAAGAATAACTATTGTTTATGAGAAGTACATGACCTGAACTTACCCACTGTAATTTTGCATTTTATGTTACATACATATTCTGTTGCACCTAATGCTTCGAAGTGGAGATATATCCTGTTTTCTCTTTAGGGTGGAATTTCTTCTTGCAATTTGCCACATTTTGAACCTAATGACTACCATTGTTCCAAAGGAGTGCACTTTACAGCTGAATATGTGTATTTTCTCTGGGTCAGGCCTTCTCTTTTTAAACATCCTATTTGATTATGACCATTTCCCGAAGGATACAAGAACATGAGGAAAGCCTACTTTCCAGCGCTGGTAACAAGCCCCTCTCTCTAATTAATGTATATATAATATTTACATAAATGTAGGAGTTGGTAGGAAAATAAACTATGCCGATTGATTTTCCAGCTGGCCATGAACGATATCTTGGGTATCTCCAGTTCCGCGTCCGTTTCGTCGAGCTTCACCCAGGAGAACGCCCGGCGCCAGAGTCGAGCATCCAGACGCTTGAAGCTGAAATGATCCGGAGATATCCAGATAACAGGCTATCATGATCACTTAAGCTACCAAAGTGGTAACGAAATAGAAAAATATAAGGAACAACTATGAAGGATACCATGGTCGAATGATCACTTGTGTAGGTACTTTTGTTGATGCTAATCATTGATGTTTGGGTCTAAATTGAAACACCTCCTCCGGAGTATTCTCAGAGGGATCACTCGGATCATGAGCGCAGCAATTGTAACCACCGCAGACAATCGGATCGACTACTGGCAGCGGCACATTTTTTGTCACAGATGTCAGACGGTTCTCCATGTGTTGGTGTGTTATTGGATGTCGAGAGTGTGTTATTTTGCGGCAAATAATTCAAATAATACAAATATGATCAAATATGCAATAGAAACCAATGATTGTTTGTCCTTATGGCATCGCAAAGACTACTTCACAATTATGAGTTAGCTTCCAGATCACGATCTGATCAAGAGGTATGGTTCTGGTCATCTTCGCAAGCATTGCTTCCGCAGAAGCTCCGGGGAAGGGGTTCATTGAAATATCGGAGCAGGCTCCATCAAATGGTCCACAATAGTTGAAATCTAAACGTCCGCAGTACCCGTGGTGTTGGTATGTGTTTGTGAAACTGGCCAAAAACACAAAGTGCAAAGTACGGAAGATGCTGTAGGTTCGGTTTGCCACTAGGAGAAGTTGTATTCGCATGCCTGCGGAAAGGATAGATCAACATCTACCGAAGGAAAATATGTTTTTTTGTGGCCTTGGCGCTGGCCACGGCGGAAGCTCTTGGGTGGAGGTTGTTATTTGTTTCATCATCTTGAGGAGATGTGTCGGTCTCCATGGACTTCCACCATGGTCGACGGTCCAAGGCGAACCACCTGGCCGCTTGCGACCTACCGATGAAGAGATGCAGAGACGGGAACGTGTATTACGCCGCTGCTAAGCAACGACTGTTGAAAAATTGGTCAGAATGATCATGGGTCCACTGGTTGGTGGTTTGGAACAGTTTTTATTTTTCCATATATTGGGAATAATCATCCCAACTGACCAATATTTTTCAGAGGGGTTGAAACCACCAACCAGGTCCATGTACTTCTCAAAAGCATCCCTGAAGGGATGTCAATTGGAATCAGCTTCGAACATGAATTAGCTCAGAATGCAAGGCCGCCAGATTTCCCTCCAAATTTTCAGGATGGGCCAGATTTGTGTCAGATTTTTTCGTTTTTGATATTTCGCAGCTTTCTTCAACTTGGTGCCGTTTGGCTGAGGCTATGCGGCCGACTTAGAACGCCGCGCAGTACTCCTGCGTCAGCCCAATAACGCCACTCGAACCGCAGATCCTGGGGGGGGATATCAGCAGAGGACTCATCCTTGCCACTCTCTTAAGATGGTGTCATATTCCCTGAAGTACACCTTGAATAACTTGAAGCGCGTTGTTTCACGGTGCACGTTTGGCTCGGTCATGGCGACCCTGAGGACCCAGATGACTCGGACGAGGAGAGTGTCTCAACGAATACAGAGACAGTCTCTGTGGATGACTTAGAGGCTGCCGCTGCCCTGCAGCATGCTGCGAGAGTCTCCACGTCATTCCATTTTCCATGATAGCGGTGCAATGCAGTGCATGCCAGAATCACCCAACAACTGCTGTAATCAAGGAGTGAGGTGATGTTAATTGCATTGAAAATCCATGGCTTCCGGGGATTATCGACCTAGGTCCAAAGGTTCTTTATTGACATTTGCCGAGCTGGTAACAAACATCACAGTCAACCCCGATGATTACTTGGGTTAGGTGGGGGTCCAGTGAATAATCCCAGCATTCCAAAACATCCCCCAATCAGTTTGGCATGATATTTCATACTAGTATAATCTAGTATATATATATACATATTAATATAATATAGATAGAATCTATATCATATTATGTTTATATATAGTATATATCTAGTCGTTATATAAGTTATTAACCCCATCAAGTATTCCCAGTGGTGGGCGGCCAGCTCGGCCAGGACAGCGATGAGACGAGCAGCGAGGATGGCGAAGCAGCTACACCGAAGGCCTGCGCGTTTTTTTTCTCCAGGTTTCAAGATGTTCACAAATGGAGGGCAATTTGATGCAACTTGCATGAAAGTTGCATGAAATCAACATATTTGAATGTTGATTTTACAAGATGATCTATGATTGAATATCCGATTCGATCCGGAGTATGATGTGGTATGAGATGACCGAAACTCCCGGAATTGTATCTTGAATGTCTGGAAAGATTCAGGCAGGGTTTGTGTGTTTTTTTCATCTCAAAGTGACCCACCTAGAGATGCTACTGGGGCCCAGCAGATAGTGCCGGCCACTAAAAATTGAAGGGAACATATGCTGCCAACGGGCTCTTGATATGTTATGATGGGGGTGGTGAAGATGACCAAAGTTGTTCATATCCCAAAAATGCTGCTTAGCCTAGCTGCTATAGCTACCTTACGGTAATCAAACATGTCAATGGGAATTCCCCTATGTATCCCTATGATTCCCTATGTATATATCTAATTACAGAAAGGCTTGTTGCCAGCGCTGAAATCACCAATTATATATATATATACATATATATATAATTATATATATGTATTGTTTTTGTCAATATATTACATGATCTGAAGAAATATTGTTTTTTTGTTGTCCATGCATATTTTCAATTAATTAGAAATACAGAAAGGCTTGTTGTGGGCGCGCAAAAAGGCATTTTTTCCCAAATACATTGCATGGTCCAAAACAATATTGGCCTTTTGCTGTCCATACACAAGCCTTTTCTAGTGGAAATAGAGCTTTAGAGTGGTAAACACAAACAAACACACCAAAAAACAAGTTTTGGGGCTACTTGGATTTATGCATGTTCAGACTAGTCTGGAAAACAGTGTTTTTTTGGTGTTTTTTGGCTTCTGTTTTTTTTGTTTGATTTCTTTGGGTTTTTGATTCCTTATCCAGATTAATCCAAACCAAATCTGATTCATCTTGCCCCCAAGGCATTCTTGTCAAGTCATTATTTAAAAAATATATTGTATGCTAAACATGCGCAGTATTCCTTGGGGGTGTGCAATTTTCCTTTTCAGGTGTGAAGCCTTTGGGGATGTAAAATTATGTTTTTGGTGAAGGAAACCGTTCCTTCAAATAAACGGTGTTCCTGTCCCAGGTGAGCGCAGCTGGAGTTCTTTGAAAGGAGTGTTACATATTTACAAAGAAATGGTGTGATTGAAAGGATTGTTACATATTGTCAAACCATGGTGTGACTTTTAAAAGAGGCAGCTGATTCAATTTTATTTTTGGTGAGTAAAACCTTTCCTTCAAACAAATGGTGTTCCTTCCAAACAGATGGCAGATGGGTTTCTTTGAAAGGAGCGTTACATTTTTTAAAGAAATTGGGCTACTTTCAAACATCAAGGCTAGCTGAGCTTCTTTGAGAGGAATGTTACATCTTTGAAGGACACACTGCATATTTTGACACAATGTTGTTTCTGTTGTTCAAACTAAACTGTTTAAATACTCTTGCAACTTTAAGTTAAGTATTCAATCTTTGAAGAAAACAGCATCTGCCTGAAGGAATGTTACCATGATAAAGGAAAGACAGGAATACTGCACTTTAGAACACAATACTATAATACACATCGTCACATCGTAGATAACACATATTGTTTTTAAAAAAAGAATCCAACCTTCACAAACAGATTTCTTCCTGAAACAAAAACATTTGACTGGCTCAAAGGCAACCACCAGCTTGCAAATGACAACACCTTTTTTGGTTGAAGTGGATGCTTTCTAAGCAAAACTGCACTACTTTGAAGAACCTCATTCCTTCAAAGCCTTGTTTGCTGGGAATGTAGCACAGGCATACAACTTAATAGACTATATACAGATATTTCGCTTTGGGCGATGAAAGCAAGTGAAAAAAATACATTGCCTGATATTGTTTGCAATTTTGCCTCTAGCTCAATGTGGTGCATTTTCTTTGGTCAACTGCTGCGCTGCGCAGCTCAAACTCATTCAACATTATTATGTACTTCCCACCTGTTTGAAAACACCAAGGGGTTTCCTTAATTTTCCAACAAATAGGGCTTGTAGATGAATTAAGGTTGTGTTTCAAAGACGACTCATTTTTTCAAAAGAATGTGGTATTGTACCACAATTGTATGGAATAGTGACAGTAGTGTATCCCTAGGTTTCAAAACAATATATTTCCAATGTTCATGATGTGTGCCACACAAAAAGAAGAATAACTATTGTTTATGAGAAGTACATGACCTGAGCTTACCCACTGTAATTTTGCATTTTATGTTACATACATATTCTGTTGCACCTAATGCTTCGAAGTTGAGATATATCCTGTTTTCTCTTCTAGGGTGGAATTTCTTCTTGCAATTTGCCACATTTTGAACCTAATGACTACCATTGTTCTAAAGGAGTGCATTTTACAGCTGAATATGTGTTTTTTCTTTGGGTCAGGCCTCCTCCTTTTAAACATCCTATTTGATTATGACCATTTCCCGAAGGATACAAGAACATGAGGAAAGCCTACTTTCCAGCGCTGGCAACAAGCCCCTCTCTCTCATTAATGTATATATATATATACATATATATATATATATATATGTATAAAAATATTTAGACCAGTCCTCACTGCCTGCAGTTGGACGTCGCTTTATGCACACCGGCGTGGCTTTGGGGCTCAAGCTGTAAAGACCCCCCCTCACCTTGCAAGGTTGTTTTGAGGGGGTTGAAGTACCACCTGCGGGTGCGTGGGTTCCACCTGCGGGTGTGAATCGCGCAATGAGCGCAATGGCTGGTCCGTGGATTTTCCCACAGGACAATTCAGCCTACTTTAAAGAAGTGGAATTCTTGAAGGGTCAGCTGGTTGAATGTCAGCTGTACGATGATGGAGGTGCCCCACAAGGACATAGCTTGTGGGACATAAGAGAGCAGCTGGAAAAGCGCCGCGAGGGCATCTGGACCCGAGCCCGGCTGATAGCCGTGAGTGATCCACATCTGAAGTGGTGGCTTGATGAAGGGCCAGGTACAAGCTGCAAAAAGCGAAGGACGCCAGAATTGGAGTTCCATACAGACTACTTCAGATGCCAGCTGGGGCACTCACTGAGAAGAAGCTGGTATGGTTCAAGGATGAGCCAGCCAAGGCAGACGTCCAGGCCGAAATCTCACGCCTTGTGGGGCAGCAGGCAAGAAAAGCCGGGGAGCTAAAGGGAGGTCAGGGCCAGCCCTTGGCCTTTTCTGAATCTGAAGTGGATCCCCGCGAGGGAGCCTTGGCGATCACTCCACCCGAGGGTGAGGAAGTTGGAGACAGACTGAAAAGGCTACGCCGAGAGGTCGGCAAAGCGAAAGAAGGAAAAAAGAAGAAGGATAAGAGCGAGGTCTCTGGGAAGCGCAGGCCCCGCAAGAAGGGACGGGGGGGCGGCGAAACAACCCTTGTGGTTTGGAGCAGCGCGACAGCTCGGAATCATCTGCCGACTCCTTCGGTTCCTCGGGTGATCGCCGGGAGGCCAAGCATGACAAGAAGGAGAAGAAAGAACACAAGAGAGCGCGCGGCAAGCGCAAAAGGGATAAGAAGGCCGATGACAGAGGCCCCTTAAGGAGCTGGGGCCAAAGTAAAATTTGCAAGATCTGATGCCACCTCGATAAGTTCGGGAGAAGATGATGAGACTGGCCAGTCTTTTCAGGCGGCCCCCTCCGGAAAGTCCCGGCAGATTCAGCTGCTGGAGTACGCCAAGAAGCACCCAGGACGACTAGCAAGTCGCCTCTTGATGAAGATGAGGGTGCTGTTGGCTCGCGAAGAGAGCAAGGGACGAAGTGAAATCAAAGGATTCCCTGGATGAATCTTCTGACGTGGAAGAATTAGGAGATGATGAACTGGAGCCGGCGGTGACAGACTCTGAGGACGAGGCGGCCATGATTCCGTCGCCTCACGTTCACCGATTTGGGAAAGCATTTGCTGAAAGTGGTTAGCAAGTCTCCCACGCTTCTGGGCCGCTTCTATCGGTCTTGGTGTATACCCACACAACCCACTCCGGGCACGGTGCCCACACATCAGAGGCGGGGAGATGTTTTGCCTATCCCTCCGTGGTTGGTCACAAAGGACCTTGCTGGGATTGATGACAACAATCTGCACTGGGTGTGTTTACTTGTAGTGGTCTTGAACTTCACCTACTGCGCTGGCTGGGGCAAACCCATTGCAGTGCCAATTGAACCGGCGCTCACGGCCAATCAGGTCAAGGCCCTCAAGTCATTGAGAGAATCGGTGACAGTCAATGTGATCTCGGCGGACCCGGTGGGCATGGGACAAGTCACGGAGCTATTGGCCTCAAAGCGCTACGACTATGTGGGGGCACCTGTGGAGTATATGGAGGACCTGGTAGCAGAGAAGGTGGCACCTGCCTGGCCCCGTCCAAGTGAAGCAGGTGTTCAACCAATTGAGCGATACCTGCCCCGTGAAACGGCAGATGCATCAAGTATCCCGACAGGCTGCTCCTGCCACCGGACAAGATGCTTGAGCGTGCCCCGCGCTCTCGTGTGCGTGCCTCTGACGAAGAGTGGTTCAAGATTTGCAAGATGGGGCACGAGAGAGACATGATGAAGATTGTGAGTGACGATCTCATCCCGCGGGATAGAAAGGGTCACTTGATCACCGCAGTGGGGCAGGAGCTGTCAAGAAGGAGAAGGTGATCAATGGTGAGCATGTCATGTGCCAGAGGTTCATCAGCATCCTCTGCCCGCTGAATGCGGCGACAATACCCCTGAAAGGGGCCCAGGACACGCTGCCGTTCATCGGCACTATGACGTCGTTTCAAGTGGAGGAGGAACAGATCGCTCACATGGAAAGCGAGGACTTGCAGTCGGCGTTCAACTTGTTTGCGGCGCCGGCTCAATGGCTGCCGTATTTTGCCTACTCAAAGAAGGTGGATGGTGCGGCCTTCCGGCTTGAAGCCGGCACCTTGGTGAGGCCGGCACTGGCCGTTATCCCCATGGGCTGGCACTCGGCCGTGGGCTTGGTGCAGGAGGCGGTCAGGACACTCGTGTTTGAACGGTCCAAGGTGCCAAGAACTCTCTCTGTGGAGAAGGGGAAACCGTTGCCGGCGCGACACCAAGGCAATCGTCTATACAACTTTGATGAGATCCATGTGGTGAGCCGGTTGTCTGAGGACTTCACAAAGGAAGGTGAAGTTATGTCTGAATACCACAGGCGGTTTGTCGAAGTCTGTGATGAAGATGGCTTGCCAAGAAACGCTGGAAAGCAGCTCATCCACGCCTATGCGGGCGGACTCCAAGGGGGGCAACTTGACGGCGTCTGAGGTGTCTTGAAGGCGGCACCGGGACAAGCTGCAGAACTTCCTGCTCAGCCTGGCTCCTTGCGGGGAAGAAGTGGTCAGAGTATCACCTCAGGCGTTGGACCGGCAAGGCGGCTCTCATTGCCGCTTTCAAGAGGTTCCTTTTCTCAAACTTGTTCGAGGTTTTCCCGCTCATCGCGCAATCTCGCTGCGGCGACGTGGTTCCAACAAAGGGGTGTGTGGATGAGATTGTATGCGTCTGCACTTTGAGCATCATCTCAAAGGCGAACCTGCGGTTCCCACTGACCTCGGCAGTTGCCAAGAAATTTTGAATCTTTCTATCTCCAGGTGCCAGTGCCAGACGCCCAGTTGGATGATGGACGCTGGTGCGAGCAGGAGCATGAAGCGGGTCAGACCACGCAGCAGGAAGTCCGGCCTGCGGGCCTGTTCACCAATGCGCGCATTCTCCCATGGAGAGGGGAACTGCGCCAGGCGTGATCTTGACGCGCCCTCATTCGGTGAAAGATTTGCGGGGGCAAATTTCCCCCTTACACAAGCAGTGGCACTGGATTGGATTGCCATCCAGCCGCCGCTGGACATCAAGATCTCGTCCTATCCATGGGACTTCTTTTCAGAGGCTGGCAAGCGCAAATTGGATCAGATGGAGAGCGACAGCAGCTTAGCAGCGTCGCATTGGGCCCCTGACAAAGACTCATAAGGCTGACCAGCGGTAAGACAATTGCCCGCCCCCGAGCTCTGAGGTCAAAGGAGAAATTCTTAGGGGTTGCCAAACCTGACCAAGGATGAGAACATCCAGCTGCGGCAGGCACAGCTATGGGCCAAAAAAGCCTGCAAGGGTTCAAGGAGGGCTTGGAGGCAAATTTGGAACTCCTTGATTTGGGAGACTCCCGAGGCACATGAGCTCTTGGATGACGCGAGGGTCTACTTCGCTTACTCGAGCTGCTGCTATGGTGGCTGGCGCACAAAATGGACGCGCCTCATCACCAACGATGAAGGCATTTTCCGAGCCGTGGATCCGCCCCACTGCCCCGGGCATTGGACCATACCAGGTGCACGAGACCGAGCAAGGGCTCAGGTTTGATACAAAGGAAGCGGCCGAGTGCCCATGGGATTCTTGTACGGCCTATGCGGCGGGCCTTCGGGTGGCCATGGACCGGAGGACCCCTCAGCCTGTGGGCTTAATTAAGTGATCACCTGATGGCCGTGTACTCGGCAGTCAAGAGGGCGACAAAGGGCCTTCAGCGCGAAACAGTGGCCATGGCGGTGGCAACGTCGGTGAATGACATGCTGAAAGAGATGCAGCCGGGAAGAGAGGCACAGCATCTGGCCTCCTTGTTGAGGCAGGTATCCACCCGTGGGTGTGATGTGAATTTTGGTCTCCCCTGACGAAGGGGGCGAGGAGACTTTGATGGCGCCCTACCCGTCCTTTGGCTGTGGCGCACAGTGGTGGCTTATAGATGGCACCAGAAGCAGCACATCAACACGCTGGAGGTGTCTGCTTTCCTTGTGGAGATCCGGAGAAGGGCCCGTGACCCACTGTTGGTGGGTGCCCGTTTCACCAACATCAGTGCATGACGTTTCACTGGACGACAAAGGGCAGGAGTTCGTCTGCCAAGTTGAATCGCCTGGTGCGCCGCATAGCGGCAGTCAGTCTGGCTGCAGATCTCACCCCCGTCCACGTTTGGACAATCAGCAAATGGAACTTTGCGGACTACGGGGGCCGCAAATTTGAGAAGCAATGATGCCGCAGAAGCAGCATTTGAAGTACATGGGGGTGCAGAAACGGACAGTCTAGTTTTACAGGCGAGAGGTTTCACTCTTCGTTGAGTATCTTGAATTCATGTCTCTACCGCTCCCAACGTCATACCCGATGTTGGACCAAAGAGTGGCTGACTACATCAACCACCTGCATCAAGAAGGTGAGTCAATCAGTAAGGGAGGCTGGCTTTTGAGTGGGCTCAGGCGCTTCTACCCGCGGGTACGTAAGGAATTGTGCCTGGCACACCAATGGTATACCAATTGGGCCCGAGTGCTGCACACACCAAAGCGAGCCAAGCCAATGCCGTGGAAGGTCCTTCAAGCCCTGGTTGGTTTGTGCTGGCATGAGCATTGGTATCATCTGCGGCTCTGCCTTTTGCTGGGCTTTAGTTTTTTTCTTGCACGCTCAAGAAGTGTGCTGGTGCTGCATGTTTCTGACACTGAGGTGTCCCCAGCGGAGGATATACCATTGTCATCCGGTTGCGTCGGACCAAGACATCCAAGCAACATCTCCAAGTTCTCACCCTGGAGCATCCAAAAATGGCAGCTCTTACAGCCTCCGCTCTCACCAATCTTTCTGATTTCTGGCTGTGGCCAAGGTCTCCAACCTTTTTTCGTAACTGTTTCACCTCCCTCAGCACAATTTCTTTTACCTCACCCCTCTAGAATTTGTCCCCTACTCCTTGCACAGGGGCGGGGCAACACATTTCTATGTGGCCCTGAAGTCTCTTGACTTCGTTATGGTCCAGGGCCGTTGGAAAGACCAACGCGCTTGTCGCTTGTACCTCGACGATGCTCGAGCGATTTTGGTCAATTTTGCCCTTCCGGATGCGTCCGTGTCTTTGTTGCGGCAATTTCACCGCCTACTTTGAACGAGTCGCTGCGCAAGTTTGGTAAAAAGCGAGCCGGTTGTGCCTGTTTCTTTTCTTGCGCTTTTTTCGAAATGGATAGGTTGTGAAGGTGACTGCACCAGCACCTACAAAGGGTGGCCACCTGCGGGTGTGTGTCCAGTGGTGCTTCCTGGGTCGCAAAACTGCGGCTGCACCACAACCTAGATCACCAGCAGGGTTGTGTGGGTGAAACAACCGTGCGCCTCTTGGTGCATAATTAGACCAGTCCTCACTGCCTGCAGATGGACGTCGCTTTATGCACCCGCGTGGTTTTGGGGCTCAAGCTGTCCCTCCCTCTTGCCACCCTGGATAGGTTGTGAAGGTGACTGCACCAGCACCTACCAAGGGTGGCCACCTGCGGGTGTGTGTCCAGTGGTGCTGGTTACCTGGGTCGCAAAACTGCGGCTGCACCACAACCTATAGATCACCAGCAGGGTTGTGTGGGTAAAACAACCGTGCGCTTCTTGGTGCATAATTAGACCAGTCCTCACTGCCTGCAGTTGGACGTCGCTTTATGCACCGGCGTGGTTTTGGGGCTCAAGCTGTCCCCCCCTCTTGCCACCCTGGATAGGTTGTGAAGGTGACTGCACCAGCACCTACCAAGGGTGGCCACCTGCGGGTGTGTGTCCAGTGGTGCTGGTTACCTGGGTCGCAAAACTGCGGCTGCACCACAACCTAGATCACCAGCAGGGCTGTGTGGGTAAAACAAGGGTGCGCTTCTTGGTGCATAAATATATATATATAACATTAACATTAACGATTTGATAGGAAAATGAACTATGCCGATGGGTTTTCCAGTTGGCCATGTTCAATTTCTTGGGTATCTCCAGTTCCGCGTCCGTTTCGTCGAGCTTCACCCAGGAGAACCCCCGGCGCCAGACTCGAGCATCCAGACGCTTGAAGCTGAAAGGATCCGGAGATATCCAGACAGGCTATCACAAGCTACCAAAGTGGTCGCTTTTCGAAATAGAAAAATATAGAACAACTATGAAGGATACCATGGTCGAATGATCACTTGTGTAGGTACTTTTGTTGATGCTAATCATTGATGTTTGGGTCTAAATTGAAACACCTCCTCCGGAGTATTCTCAGAGGGATCACTCGGATCATGAGCGCAGCAATTGTAACCACCGCAGACAATCGGATCGACTGCTGGCAGCGGCACATTTTTTGTCACAGATGTCAGACGGTTCTCCATGTGTTGGTGTGTTATTGGATGTCGAGAGTGTGTTATTTTGCGGCAAATAAAACAAATATGAGCAAATATGCAATAGAAACCAATGATTGTTTGTCCTTATGGCATCGCAAAGGCTACATCACATTATGAGTTAGCTTCCAGATCATGATCTGATCAAGAGGTATGGTTCTGGTCATCTTCGCAAGCATTGCTTCCGCAGAAGCTCCGGGGAAGGGGTTCATTGAAATATCGGAGCAGGCTCCATCAAATGGTCCACAATAGTTGAAATCTAAACGTCCGCAGTACCCGTGGTGTTGGTATGTGTTTGTGAAACTGGCCGAAAACACAAAGTGCAAAGTACGGAAGATGCTGTAGGTTCGGTTTGCCACTAGGAGAAGCTGTATTCGCATGCCTGCGGAAAGGATAGATCAACATCTACCAGGAAAATGTTTTTTTTGGCCTTGGCGCTGGCCACGGCGGAAGCTCTTGGGTGGAGGTTGTTATTTATTTTCATCATCTTGAGGAGATGTGTCGGTCTCCATGGACTTCCACCATGGTCGACGATCCGAGGCGAACCACCTGGCCGCTTGCGACCTACCGATGAAGAGATGGAGAGACGGGAACGTGTATTACGCCGCTGCTAAGCAATGACTGTTGAAAAATTGGTCAGAATGATCATGGGTCCACTGGTTGGTGGTTTGGAACATTTTTGTTTTTCCATATATTGGGAATAATCATCCCAACTGACTAATATTTTTCAGAGGGGTTGAAACCACCAACCAGGTCCATGTACTTCTCAAAAGCATCCCTGGAGGGATGTCAATTGGAATCAGCTTCGAACATGAATTAGCTCAGAATGCAAGGCCGCCAGATTTCCCTCCAAATTTTCAGGATGGGCCAGATTTGTGTCTGAAACTTGTTTTTGATACAGTATTTCGCAGCTTTCTTCAACCCGGATGACTCGGAGGAGGAGAGCGCCGCAACGAGTACAGAGACAGTCTCTGCGCATGACTTGGAAACTTAG